TCCTGGTAGGGATGGCCTCATTCAGGTGGCCCTGCCCAGCCTGGGCAGCTGTAGGTGTGCAGGAGGCTGTCAGATGCGTTGGTTGGTCCCCTGGTCTGTCATCTTGGGTGTCCAAGATGACTGAACTGGGATGCTGCCTCTTCCTCTTCCATTCTCCCAGAGAGAGGCACGGAGGCCTCTCTCTCCTGGCCCTGCCCCTGGGTGGGGTGTTTACTGTTGAATCAGTCTCAGTAAATCCTACGCCTCTGTGGGGCTGGTAAACTAGCAGGTGTTACCCACCAGCCACTTTCTCCAGGCAAACGGAGATGACCTCTGCTGGGTCTGGTGGCCACTGTAGTTCACTGAAGACTCTCGTGACCATGGCCGTGAAACAGAGGACACCCCTCCTTTGCCACTGCGGGCCTTGCAATTTCCTGAAGGTAGGTGGGAGGAGCGGGGGCTCCTCGGTGTGGAGACCCTCTGGGGTCTTCTGTCTTCCTGTCCATGCCTTGCTTCCTTGGCCTCTCGCTGGGGACCAGCTCTGTAGCCCCTGAGCCCAGAGGGGACACCAGGTGGCTTCAGCTGGCAGACAGGTGTCCCCAGGAACTCCTCCTTCAGAAAGGAGCTCACGCTCTGGCCTTTTGTGCCTAGGAGAGGGTAGGAGCACCAGGCTTCTGGGGACTCGGGGCACCCACACCTACTGACCACAGCAGCCGCTTTCAGGTGCTTGCTCTAATCCAGTCCCAGCACCAGGTCTTGGGGACACGTGTTGTAGAGCAATTCCTGGCAGAGACCCCCCCAGACCACCCCCCACCGCTGTACCACCCCCTCTGTCCTCTTCCCAGGAATTCCTGGCCTGGCCGCACACTGGATCTGAGTGTCTTGGTTTGGGTTCCTGTAAATTGGGAGCTGGGTAGCAGGTGCAGTGGTGGGAGTGGGGCTCAGAGCAGGAGCATGAAGCACAAGAGAAGTCTACGCCCAGGAAGTTTGCCAAGGGGCAGGAAGGTGTAGACCAGGTGGGTCTGGTGGACTCACCACCCTAGCACCAATTCTCTCCCCCTACCGGGAGGTGGGTGCCAGCAGGCTCGTGGGTTCTTGGAAGGATTCGTGCAGTGGGTCTGGCAGGTGCCACGCAGCTCCCTGTAGTTCACCAAATGGCCTGAGGACCCAGTCACTCTTCTAGTGGCTGAGTTACTGGCCTGAGTTAGAGAGAGGGGCTGGGGCACTGTATGCTCTCACCCAGGTGCAGCCTCTGACACCCCCACAGCTGGCAGGGGCTCCCCTGCTAGGAAGTCAAGTTCCTCAGGCTTGCCTGATGCTGTTCTGCCAGTCTGGACCTTATCCTCTATGATTTTCCACTCTGGAGCAGGCAGGGCAAGCTCAGGTGGCTGTGGTGGTCGGTGGTGGGGGGCTCACATGGGCCTGAGGCTCAGGAAGTGGATTGAGGGACTCATCTGCAGGGACAGGAAGCTGGGCCTCTCTGCATCTTCTCCTTCCTGGTTCTTCATTTGCTGGGTCTACAAGAAGAGGAATGAATACTTTTTTTTTTTTTTGAAAGACGTGTTTATTTGAGAGGTAGAGTTGGATGGGGGAGGAGGGAGTGAGCGGGAGAAAGCACGCCAGTTCCCCATGGCTCGGTTCACTCCCCGAGTGCCTGTGACTGGGAACTTGATTGAAGGACTCGGGCTCTCTCCCAAGGCCCACTCTAGCACTGAGCCGGGCTTGCTCTGGGGGTCCGGTGGCACTGGGACACGGGCCACGGGGAGCTTCACTTGCGTCTCAGGTTCTAAACAAACAGCTACCACCTGTACCTTTCCTTGTACACACTGTGACACACACCAAGCTCTGAGTATAAGGACTGTGCATTTTAATGCATAATAGTGTCACGAACCTGAACCTTTGGCCAGATCATTATTTAATTTTCTTTCTTGCTCTCCTAAGAACTTAGTGTGGGCCCCGGAGCGGTGGCACAGTGGTTAAGGTCCTCACCTTGCATGCCTGGGATCCCATATGGGCGCCGGTTCTAATCCCGGCAGCCCTGCTTCCCGTCTGGCTCCCTGCCTGTGGCCTGGGAAAGCAGTCCAGGACGGCCTAAAGCTTTGGGACCCTGCACCCGCGTGGGAGACCCTGAAGAGGCTCCTGGCTTTGGGAGCTTTGGGGCCTGCACCCATGCAGGAGACCTGGAGCGGCTGCTGGCTTCGGCCCGTTGCGCTCACTTGGGGAGTGAATCATCGGATGGAAGATCTTCCTCTCTATCTCTCTCTGTATATCTGCCTTTCCAATAAAAATGAAATAAATCTTAAAAAAAAAAAAAAAAGAACTTAGTGTGGTTCTAACTAGCTTTTCACACTGTAATCATTGTACTAGTCAAAAAAGCTTCCTACTGGAGCCAGCGCAATGGCTCAACTGGCTGATCCTCTACCAGCAAGTGTGCATTCCCAGTGGGTACTGGTTCTAATCCCAGCTGCTCCACTTCCCATCCAGCTCCCTGCTTGTGGCCTGGGAAAGCAGCGGAGGACAGCCCAAAGCCTTGGGACCCTGCACCCACGTTGGAGACCTGGAGGAAATTCCTGGCTCCTGGATTCAGTCTGTCTAATCTTTGATTGTTGCAGCCATTTGCAGAGTAAACCAGTGGATGGAAGATCTTTCTCTGTCTCTTCTTCTCAGTAAATCTGTCTTTCCAATAAAAATATAATAATAATAAATAATGCTTCCTCCTTCCCCTGGCTGACTGGTTTGTATGCCAGCATCATCTGGCCAGCTCTCTGTATCTGAGGGTTCCATCTCCTGGGTTTCCAACACAGTGGGTGAAAAAAATCACTTTTGTCCTAAACATGAACAGCTGCTTTTTTTTTTCTTGCCATTCTTTTCCAGCCAATTTGGTGTCACAACTATATATATATATGTATATATATATATTAAAGATTTATTTATTTATTGGAAAGTCAGATATACAGAGAGGAGGAGAGACAGAGAGGAAGTTCTTCTGTCCGATGATTCACTCCCCAAATAAGCGCAACGGCCGATATTATGCTGGTCTGAAGCCAGGAGCCAGGAACTTCTTCCGGTTATCCCACACGGGTGCAGGGTCCCAAAGCATTGGGTCGTCCTCGACTGCTTTCCCAGGCCACAAGCAGGGAGCTGGATGGGAAGTAGAGCTGCCGGATTAGAACCGGTGCCCATATGGGATCTTGGCGCGTTCAAGGCGAGGACTTTAACCCCTAGGCCACACCGCCGGGCCTGTCACAACTCTATGTTAAACACCTGTGTTGTGTAAGATGTAACACATGACCCAGAGACAGCTTAAAGATGGAGCAAGGTGGACTTGAGTCATGTTCAAGCAGAAGGCCGTGGTGTGGACAAGCTGTGGGATGAGTCATGTGTGGTTTTAGCAGTCTCCCCACACCTGTCCTCGAGTGTCACAGCGCTGAGATTGGCTGGGTCATTATACCCCCTTTAGTTTCCCCTGCCCGTGGCAGTCCATGGTGCCAGAACGGTGGCTATGCGGGCTTCTTCCGGTTCTGTGGAATGTTACACAATATCGCTTTGCTGCATAGCTTAGCAGAAGGCAATTGTTCTGCACTTGGCTTTCCAAAGTGGTTCCACTAGCCCCAGCTCGCAGCTCGCTGATGCACCTGTGGTGATGGGCAGTGTGCCCTCCCAGGTCATGTCTGTGTAGTAAACCATCTCCTCGCGATGTTACTCTGTTGTTTTTCACTGTAGCATAAAATGATGTTGCTAAATATCCCAGGGGCCCAGCCCGATAGCTCAGTGACTAAATCTTCACCTTGCAGCTGCTGGAATCCCACATAGGTGCCGGTTTGAGTCCTGGTTGCTCCACTTCCCATCCAGCTCCCTGTTTGTGGCCTGGGAAAGCAGTGGAGGATGGCCCAAAGCCTTGGGACCCTACATCTGTACGCAAGGCCCAGAGGAGGCTCCTGGCTCCTGGCGTCAGATTGCCTCAGATCCGGTCATCGGGGTTATCGGTCATCGTGGCTGCTTTTGGAATGGACTAGCAAATGGAAGATCTTTCTCTTTGTATCTCCTTCTCTCTGTAAATCTGCCTTTCCAATAGAATCAATAAATCTTTAATAAATAAATAAATAAATATCCCAGAAATTAAGTAATCTTTACATTTTTTTCCCCCATTTTATTTGAAAAGCAGCCAAAGAGAAGTAAGGAGCCTGGAGTGGCAGGGATTGAAGTACCTGGTGCCTCCCATGGTACATGTTAGCAGGAAGCTGGAAGGGAAGTGGGGCTAGGAATCCAACCAGGTGCTCAGATTTGGGATGTGGTTATTATCCCAAACACTTTTTTTTAAAAGATTAATTTTAATTATTTGAAGGCACAAGTTAAAGTTACAGAGAGAACCTCTATTTATTGCTTTATCTCCGCCAAATGGTCCCAGCTGCAGGGGCTGAGGCCAAAGCCAAGAGCTTCTTCCTGGTTTCCCACGTGGGTGCAGGAGCCCAAGCACTTGGGCCATCCGCTGCGGTTTTCTCAGTCGCATAAGCAGGGAGCTGGACTGGAAGTGGAGCAGCCAAGACTGGAACCGGGTGCTTATGGGATGCCATGCCATGGGTGGCGGGTGTATGTGCCATTGCCCTGCCGGTAGGTGTTTCTGATTTCTCCCAGGGCAGAGGAAAGGGAAGGGGAAGTGAGAAGACCCGGGACTTGCCCTCAGCGAACGACCCAGCGGGAACTCCTGTGTGTAGAGCCCCATTGGGGGCTTCTCAATGAGGACCTCAGCAAGTGCGTTTGGGGACTGTTGTGGGGTCAGCGAGGCCACATACAGTGGGCCTGGCCCAAGTAAGCTAGGAGACTCCGAACACCCGCTGTCATTTTCGGGGTCTCCACGGGTGGCCCATGGGCGTCCCTGATGCGCGTCTACCGCCTCAGGACCCCGAGATTCTTACCCCTCTCCCATCCCCACGGGTGCCACCGCCGGGGCGGAGCCACCCGCGGCCTTCCAGGCTCCGCCCGCCTCCCAGGCCCCGGCCGGCGCTGCGATCGGCGGCGCTAGGACCGGGCGGGCCCGGGGCTGCGGCGGGGCCTGGGTGGCCGGAGGAGCGGGGACCCCGGCTCTCGGCTCCCGGCGCCATGTGAGGGGGCTCGGGGGGCCGCTGGGGCCCAGGCTCCCCGGCGGAGGTGAGCGAGCGCCGCGCGGGGGCGGGCGCTCAGGGCGCCGAGGAGGGGGGCCTCGTGAGCGGCGGGGTGGGGGGTCGCGAAGGCGGGGTGCCTAGTGCCCCTCGCCCACTGCCCAGGGCGGTCGCGGCTGCTCGGGGCCTCCGGCCGCTGCCACCCCATTGGGGCGCCGGGACCCTGCGCAGGTGCCGCTCACTTCTCCCAGCCGGGGTTCACCCTCCTGCCGCCCCCCCTCCCGGGGTGCGCGAGTTGGGAAGGGGATCCAGGGGCGATCCCGCCCCGCGTTAATCTATCCTCTCCCCGGGAACCCTCCTCACTCCCGGCTGGCCCGTGGGGGCGCCCCCACCCCACCCAGTCTTGGCCCGGGGTCCGAGTGCGCGCTCCTGGGCCGACACCTCCCCAGCCTGGGCGAGCGGCTCTGCGCGCACGGGGCTTGCGCGCCGCGCGGAGCCAGGCGCTGGGCACGCTCCCGGCGGCCTCTGGCCCCGCGGGCGGAGGGGGATCCTGCTGGGGGAACCCCGTCAGGCGCTGCCCTGAGCCGCCTGGTGTGACCGCACTGCCTAACCCGGCCGTGGGGTGGGCGCGCGTCTCTGGGCCTCGCTCTCTGGGTCTGTGAAATGGGGGGAAAGGGGATGGGGTTAGAGGTGCCTCCCCGGACCGGAAGGATGCAGGTAGTGGGCGACGCTGAGCCCCTTGGTACTAACGGAGGTGGCTGGGTTGGTTTGGCCCAGGGGAGCAGCGGTGTTTGGTTAGCGGTTCGCCTAAGGGGCGGCAGGCCGGGAAGGCGGAGTAACCTACAGATTTAGAGTCATTTCCAACATTGTGCGCCCCCGGCCTCATGTGCCTGTATCCTTCCAACAACCCCGAGAGTCACCTATTCTTATCATTCCCATTTCACAGATGAGGACACTGAGGCCCAGCGAGGTCACATGGCTTGCTCGAGGCCCCCCAGCCAGTAAGTGGTGGAACCGGATTCGTTCGGGCGCCTGACATGCTCTACTGACCATGGTGGCCTTCCGAAGGACAGGACTGGGAGGAGCTGATGGGGGGGGAACAGTGGCCGTGGCTGCGGAAAGCAGGGTCTAGGAGGTGGACCTCGCAGGCCAGGGCAGTCAGTAGACCCTGGAGGCCCGAAAGGCGGCTGCGCCCAGGTGTGGCCAGCAGGGCTCAAGGGGTGGCCCTGGGATTCTAGAATTTGTCCTAACGGTTTCTTGAGTTTAGGAATAAACGGGCTCCTTCTTCCTGATGAACCTCAGTTTCCCCGGCCGTCCAACTCGGTGGGGCCTCCCAGGCTGGTCAGCGGGGACAGAAACCTGACGCCAAGGGAGGGGGTGAGGGCGGGGCCCCCGGTAGCCAATGAGGAGCCGGTAGTGGGGGGTGCCGCCCCTGGTGGAGGTTCTGGGCTCCCAGGGCAGCGGTGGCCGCGTGGGTGTAAACAGCAGCCAGGCCAGGGGGCGGGCACAGCGGCGGGAGGCGGGCGCACGGTGCCCGAGCCCCAGGGTACACATCTCCGTTGCAGTCTCCCGACTGGAGGGAGGCTGGGTGCCACACTCAGGTCCTTTTTACAGGTGGGCCGGTTGAGGTCTGGGCCCCAGGGAGGTTGCGACGTTGAGGGGAGCAGTGGGCACAGAATTGGGAGATACCGGACAGGACAAGGTGGGGCCGGGAGGAAGACTGCCCAGGATTTTGCTGGCCGCCGCTGGACTGATAGAAAGCTTGGGCTCTGGTAGAGATTTCCAGGCCAGGACCCAAGCTGTGCTGCTAGCCCCTGGGATCTAGCTAATACATTCGGGATTCTCCCCCACCGGCTGCCTGCATGCAGATGGAGACCTGGGGGGGTAGGGCTGTGAGTGAGAGCAGATGTGGGTGGTGCCATCTGGGAGGTCTCCATCCCGTCCCCCAGGTAGGCAAGGGTGCAGGAAGGAAGGAGGCAAGGGCAGGGTCTGGAAGGGGAGGGGAGCAGAGGAGGTGAGGGGTCCCTGGGGGTGTCACTGCACTTTGAGTCCCTCGCAGGGCTGGAGAGCAGGAAGACCTGGCGTGCATCTGCTGAGTGGGGACAGGTGTGGCTGTGTGTGCTGACCAGGCAGGGAGAGGCAGGGCTCCGGCACCACCAGGCTTGTGTGACCTCAGGCTGTTCTTGCCCTTTCTGGGGCTCAGTGTCTCCATCTGTAAAGTGGACATAGCTCTGAGCCATCCAGTTCTGAGTACAGAGAGCTGATGAAGAAGGGAGGGTGAAGCCTGCGACCAGATGGACCCAGGGGAAGGTGCCGGGGGCTGTAACACTTTCTGGTGGCTTGCAGGTGTGACCCCACTTCCCTGCCCCCAGGGCCGCCTGCAGGACGCTGGCCCCTACCCCTGAGCAGACGGCGGAAAGAGATGAGTAACAACAAAGTAAGTCCCCTCACCCCGTGTCTTAGCCCCACTTCTTCATCTTGCTTTTGAAAAAGATTTATTTATTTGAAAGACTAAGTTGCAGAGAGAGAGAGAGATCTTCCACGCACTGGTCCACTCCCCAGATGGCTACAAGGGATGGGCCAGGCCGAAGCCAGAAAGCAGGACTTTTTTGGGTTTCTCATGTGAATGCAGGGGCCCATCTTCCGCTGCCTTTCCAGGCACAACAGCAAGGAGCTGGAGCAAAAGAAGTGGAGTAGCCGAGATTCGAACCAGCACCCATTAGGGATGCTGGCGTCACAGGTGTGGCTTTCCTCTCTGCACCACAATGCCGGCCCCAGCCCCACTTCTGAGTTGCATTCATTCTGTGACACCGTGGCCCCCAGGAGTCTCTCTACCAAGGGGCAGCTGAGCACAGGAGATTTGTGCTTGAGCCCTGACCTGCTGAGTGATCTGCGGTGAGCTCAGGGCCACCTTTGGTCTTGTTAGGCTTGGCAGGTGCATCTGTGGTCAAGAACTGGCTTAAGAAAGTGACCGGGAGCTGTGCAGGGGTGAGGCTGGGGAGGTAGAAATGGTGGGAGGCTGGAAGAGGGTCAGTGTTCAGAGCCAAAGCTTGGGACATGCATTCATGCATTCACCCATGCTTTACAGAACCCCTGAGTGCCCGACCCTGCTCATCCCCCGCCACACACATTTCCTGGGCTGAGCGTGACACTTCCAGGTTGGGGGCGAGGTGATTGTACTCGCTGGATGTCATCAGGAGAGAGTACATGATACAGAAGGCCATAGCTGGTGAGCCCCCCGAGAAACAAGGATCACATTTGTGGGGACACAGGCTGCCCCGCCTTCTGGTGCCTTTGCTTGCGGGTTTTCAACATTGCCGTGGTATGAGAGCCCTCCACACGCAGCCTCGGCTGTGCTTCGAGTTGTGTGTGCTCTTGGCTGCTCCTGTCCCTGCCCTGAGCTGGCAGTTTGTCATAGCACCCTCCTGTGTGGCTCCTAAGTCCCTAGGCCACAGCTGAGACTCTGCTGTGTGCCGCATGGCCAGGCTAGGGGTGTGGTCAGTTCCTTGCCTTATCGTAGTGTCACAAGGTGAGCAGTGTCTGTCTCCCCAAATTCATGCCAATGTTTAACGCGCCACCCCCGCCACATCTTGTGTCCATGGCTGATAGAGCTATGGCTGGTGACTTGAGAGCGTCGAGGCGCCGTGCTAGGATCGTGTCTGAAGGTGGGGCCTGCACAAAGAGGTGGGATTGGATAAGGTTGTTGGGGTGCAGCCCTGACTTTTTAGGGGAAGCCACAGGAAGGCAGGTGGAGAGTGTGTGCCCCATGTGTCTTTCTCAGGCCTGGCTTGTCACAGAGTTCCTCTCTCTGCACCAGCGGCTGATCCAGGGGGACCATCTGGCCTTGATCTTGACTGCGAATCCCCTTCCTGGGTAGCTCCTGGCAGGTGTTCAAGTTCCATTAAAAGAGAACTGACTCTGGGATATGGCCCTGTCATAGGTTGGGGGTTTCTGTAGAAGAATGGCAATATAAGGAGATACACACTCACTAGACCACCAGATACCAAACCCGAGCCATTGCCCCCGAGGTGCCTCTCCAGTGCCCTCTGCTGGCGAAGCTTATATGTAGCTGGCTGGAAAGGGCTCAGATGTATTTTGACAGAGCAGGCAGAAAGGGTGAACTTAGAGCTTAGGTGTCTGTTGGCATTCAAGGTCCAATTGGATCCAGGGCGCTCCCTGCTGGCCCCAGAGCCTTTAGCTGCTCAAGTTTTAAAAGCGGCCTTGTGTTTCATAGCACCTTACTCTCACACACTTCCAACCCGAGTCTCTGTATTCCTTATAACCGCTGACTCAGCCTGACTACTAGCTGTTACGCTGTCTTGTTGAGGAACTAACAGCAAAAGAAGTCTGCGAGTTTGATCTGTGCTTGGCTAAATCCTCAGATGTGGAACTGTAGACTCAGAACTGACTGTGTGTTGCTCAATTCTGGAGTGTTCCTGTTGTGACAAAGCTAGGTCTCCTGCCTTGTTCCACCTGCAGGCATCTCTTTTTTGCAACTGAGGGTCTCGTGCACCTGCAGGCAGCCTGGCCCAGCAACCACCCCCTGAGGTCTTGCGATGCCCCTGTCCCTGGGCTTTGGGGCCCCAGTGTGGGGTGGAGATGCGAGGCTGACCCAGGGTCAGTCCCCAGAGCTGACGGTCTATTTGAGGGGAGTTGGGGGTTGGTGGTTTGAAGGCAGTGTGAGCAGGGAGCTCTGGAGGCTGGAGGCCTTGCTGGAAGAAGCACGTGGGGGCTGGGGGAAGGGGAGCTGGGTGCTCAGTGGCCTCTCCCATCCACAGGAACAGCGGTCAGCAGTGTTCGTGGTCCTCTTTGCCCTCGTCACCATCCTCATCCTCTATAGCTCCAGCAGTGCCAATGAGGTCTTCCACTACGGTTCCCTGGGGGGTCGCAGCCGCCGGCCCGTCAACCTCAAAAAGTGGAGCTACGCCAGTGCCTATGTTCCTCTCCTCGGCAACAAGGTAGAGCCACCCCGAGGGGGAGCGTGCAGGGCTGGCCCTCTTCGGGGTCATGGAGCCCTCTGTCCACCTCTGCTGCACCTGCTGCTCCCGCTCCACCTCCCTCTCCCAAAGCCAACACCTCCCTGCTACAGGCAGGACTGACCCCACAGGGGGTCAAGGTCTCCTTGCTTGCTATGTGACCTTGGACAGGTCTCTTGCCGCCCCAGGTCCCATCCTTAGCGCCAGTTCTTTCCTAAGTTGTCCAGTTCTGCCTGCTTCCACGGTTCTGCTTCTGCTGGAGAAAGGCTAGGACGCTGCAGGCTTAGCGGCACAGAGGCAGCGACAACAGCGACTGCCTGTTACCCAGCGCGAAGCTCTGTGCTCCCTCGGAGACGATCACTGAGGCCCGGAGGAGCGGAACTGCTTGGCTGAGGCCACACAGGAAGGGAGGGGACAGGGCACTGCCTTCTGGAGGAGGAGCTGTGTACAAGCGTTTCCTTGAAAGGGGACTAAAAAAAGGCAGAATCTGGGAGAAAGTGGGACAGCTTGAGTGTGGGCAATGGGGCGGGCAGGTGGCAGAGCCCAGCTGAGAGAGGATCTCGGGACGCCAGAGCTCAGGAAAGTAGGAAAACTGTCAGTCCAGACACAGGGCACACGTGGCTACGTCTTGGTGTAAGGGCTTGTGTGGAATGCTTCCTGGAGGAGGTGGCATTTGACCTTCGCCTTGAAGGGTTAGTAGACCATGGGCAGCAACTCGACCCCTGAGATCATGTGGTTCCAACCCATTCACCTCCCCCACCCCCGTTCCTTCAGAACAAGGTAGTCTTGTTTGGAGCCGGGGACTGTGTGGTATCTCGCAGACCTGGGCTTAGCCAGCGCCTGAGTCCCAGCACCCTGCCACCTTGAACCTTGAACCTTGTACCTCCCACCTTGAACCTCCCCCAGGGTGGCTGCCCCCACCCCTCCTCCTCCACAGGCCTCCCCACACCCCTTTCTAGCCAAGCCATGCCCGGGCGGCTCCTGCTTGCCCTATGCGGCCCTCGTTCTTCCCAGCACATGCCACTCATGTTTGCCGTCTGTCTCCACAGCTGGGAGCTTCTCCAGGGTGGGAGCTGGGTAGCTCTGCTCCCAGTTTGGTCGCCAGTAGCTGCCTGGCTATAGATGGTGGCTGAGTGATGATGACTGGGGCTCCAATTTCCCTATCTGTGAAATGGGTCCAGTCATTTTTAGGGAGCACAGGACACAGCCATGACTGGGTCACCTCTGCTTGCTCCCCTCCCTCCCCCAGACGCTGCCTTCCCGGTGCCACCAGTGTGTGATCGTCACCAGCTCGAGCCACCTGCTGGGCACCAAGCTGGGGTCCGAGATCGAGCGGGCCGAGTGTACCATCCGCATGAATGATGCGCCCACCACAGGCTACTCGGCCGACGTGGGCAACAAGACCACCTTCCGTGTGGTGGCCCACTCCAGCGTGTTCCGGGTGCTGCGCAGGCCCCAGGAGTTTGTCAACCGGACCCCCGAGACCGTCTTCATCTTCTGGGGCCCTCCGAGCAAGATGCAGAAGCCGCAGGGCAGCCTGGTGCGTGTGATCCAGCGGATGGGCATGGCCTTCCCGCACCTGGAGGCCTACGCCGTCTCTCCCGACCGCATGCAGCAGTTCGACGAGCTCTTCCGGGGTGAGACGGGCAAGGACAGGTACCAGTCACCCACCTACCCATCAGCCCCAGGCTCCTTCCCAGCCTGCTCAGCCTAAGCACCTGCCATTCCCTACGCGGGCTGCCCTGAGGACCAGCTCCCTTCTTGTCAGATTTCTGTGGCTTCGCCTGCCTGGGAGGGCTTCCTCCCAGCATGTCCCACTCTGAGGGAACCAGGGCTCCCATCATGCTCTGCTCCAGGGTTCACAGTCACTGTTCACTTTCTGCTGCAGTCTCCCCCAGCAGCATCAAGACTTGACTGTTCCCAGCATGCCTTGCTTTAAACAGATAGTTGCTCCCAGAATACCCCATGCAACTAATTTCCCCCTAAAAAGCAAGGTCCAGTAAGAATATGATGCAAGGTACATCTCTAGTTTTTTGTTTTAAAAGATTAATTTATTTCTGTTGGAAAGGCAGATTTACAGAGAGAAGGAGAGACAGAAATCTTCACTCTGCTGATTCACTCCCTGAGTGGAGCTGTGCCAATCCAAAGCCAGGAGCCAGGATCTTCTTCTGGGTCTCCTGTGCAGGTGCAGGGTCCCAAGGCTTTGAGTCATGCTCTATTGCTTTCCCAGGCCACAAGCAGGGAGCTGGATGGGAAGCGGAGCTGCCGGGATTAGAACCAGTGCCCATATGGGATCCCAGCACATGCAAGGCAAGGACTTTAACCACTGGGCTAACATGCCAGTCCACGTTTGTAGGTTTTTTTTTTTTAATATTCATTAATTTTTATTGCAAAGTCAGATATATATAGAGAGGAGGAGAGACAGAGAGGAAGATCCTTCGTTCGATGATTCACTCCCCAAGTGACTGCAATGGCTGGAGCTGCACCAATCTGAAGCCAGGAGCGCCTCGGGTCTCCCACACAGGTGCAGGGCCCCAAGGGTTTGGGCCATCTTCCACTGCTTTCCCAGGCCTCAGGTAGGGATCTGGATGGGAAGTAGGGATGCTGGGATTAGAACCAGCGCCCATATGGGATCCTGGCACATTCAAGTCGAGGACTTTAGCCACTAGGCCACCATGCTGGGCCCCACATTTGTAGTTTTAATTTTAAAACATTTGAAAGGGGCCCAGCGCGGTGGCGCAGTGGTTAAGGTCCTCACCTTGCATGCCCGGGATCCCATATGGGCGCCGGTTCTATCCCGGCGGCCCCACTTCCCATCCAGCTCCCTGCCTGTGGCCCGGGAAAGCAGTCGAGGACGACCCAAAGCTTTGGGACCCTGCACCCGCGTGGGAGATCCGGAAGAGGCTCCTGGCTTTGGATCGGCATAGCATCGGCCGTTGCTCTCACTTGGGGAGTGAATCATCAGATGGAAGATCTTCCTCTCTGTCTCTCCTCTCTGTATATCCGCCTTTCCAATAAAAAATAATAAAAATAAATCTTTAAAAAAAAGTTTTGAAAGAGTTGGAGAAGAAAGACCTTCTATTGGCTGACTTGCACCCCAAACAGCCACTAAAGCCGGGAACCAGGAGTTTCTTCCAGGTCTCTCACGTGTTTATAGGGGTCCAAGCATGTGGACCAGCCTCTGCTGCTTTCCTAGGAGCATTAGCAGGGAGCTGGATGGGAAGTGGAGCAGCCAGGACATGAACTGGCTCCCATGTGGGATCCCGGGGCTTGTGAGGCAAGGAGTACAGCTGCTGGGCCCTCTTCATTTCAGGTGACAAACGGAAGTGTGTGGGTGCTTGCGGAATCTTCTTAGTACCCATTTCATATCTGCCAGGAGATGATGAAGCTCTCTCTTACATTCCTAACATTGGCATTTTTCTCTCCTTTCTTTGTCATTCTTGCTAGAGTTTATTTTAAAGGTTTATTCATTTGAAAGAGTAACAGAGAGAGGGAGAGAAAGATCATCCATCTGCTGCTTCACTCTAATTGGCTACAGCTGCTAGGACGGGGCCAGGCTAATGCTAGGAGCTTCTTCTGGGTCTCCTCCTGAGTGCAGAGGGTAAGGCACTTAGGCCCTCATTCGTTGCTTTCCCAGGCTCATTAGCAGGGAGCTGAATCGAAAGTGGAGCAGCAACCCTATGGGATGCTGTTGCTGCAGGCAGTGGCTTGATGTGCTATGCCACAGCACTGGCCCCAAGAGATTTAATTGGGGGGGCGGGAAGCACCTTCTACCAAATAGGGTGTTCAAGGGTTTCCGTTCATCTTGGAATCGATATCAAACGATGACCTAAGACATGCCCTGTGTTCTCTGCAATCCAAGGCACCTGGTGTGTGTTTCCACGCATAGTGCCTCTGCCAGGATCAAGTGCTTAGTAACCACGGGCGACCGCTGCTCCTTAAACACAGATCCGGGTTCATGGCCACCCCTCGCCCACCCTGTCTGGAGTCGAGTTTAGAGTTAGATCGTCTCAGTTGTCTCTCCTGGGGAATCTGCTCTGGGCGCAGGCACAGCCATGCGGTCACGGTCACTCGCAGCATGCCCGACTGTGCCAAGCACCCAGCACAGCTCATCCTTGCTTCTCCCTGGGTGCTCTGCCTGGAGATGTCCTCTGGCACACCCCGTGGCGGGGCTGGGCCCCAGGGTGGGCCTGCCCTGTGCTTCCTGCCTGTAAACTCCCCTGCCTGCCTCCTTGTCCCTTCACCTTGACCCATCTCTGTCCCCAGAGAGAAGTCACATTCATGGCTGAGCACCGGCTGGTTCACCATGGGGTTGGCGGTAGAGCTGTGTGACCATGTGCACGTCTATGGCATGGTGCCCCCTGACTACTGCAGGTGAGGCCGAGCCAGGGCCCTTCTGGGGAATCAAGGTGTCAGGAGCGGGGAGGTGTGGACTCCCTGGGCCTTTGTGTGGGTTTCTCACTGCTGGGCTCCACCCGATAGTGACTATGGCTGCTGACCCTGCTGGGCGGGCATTAACTGTGACTATATTTGTGGCCTTAATGCTTCCTCCAGGTGGCCTTGGGGGGATACCTATCCACTGTCTTCTCCCCATTTCCTAAATGAGGAAAACTGAGGATGTGCCGATGACCCAGAGGCAGGCAGGAGTGGGGGCCAAGCCACTGACCCACACCACTGCTCTTTCACTACACTAATATAATACCAATGGTTACAATCCTAGTCTACCCTATACCCATTTACAGATTTGGCAACGGAGGCCCAGGGGAGGGGTCCCTAAAGCAGGCGAGGGTCCGCAGGGACCAGCCCCTCGGCGCGTCCACCTGCGCTGATGCCGTGCCCCCCATCTCCTCCACAGCCAGCGGCCCCGCCTGCAGCGCATGCCCTATCACTACTACGAGCCCAAGGGGCCGGACGAGTGTGTCACCTACATCCAGAACGAGCACAGCCGCAAGGGGAACCACCACCGCTTCATCACAGAGAAGAGGGTGTTCTCGGCCTGGGCCCAGCTGTATGGCATCACCTTCTCCCACCCGTCCTGGACCTAAGCTGCCGCCCGCCCGTCTGCCTGTCCGTCTGCCCGTCTGTCCGTCCATCCGCACCTCTGGCCGTTTTCTGGCCAATCAAGGGCTGGCTGGAGTGTCTCCCAGCCAATCAGCGCCTTGATGAGGGTGTGAGGGTGTAGCCTTCTGCCGATTGGCCAATCAGGGATTTGGGAATTTGGTTACGAATCAGGGTGTCAGGGTCTGGCATAGTCAGGGTATTGGGGTGCTTCTGAGTCCATCAGGGGCTAAGGACATGGCCTTTCCCAGGAGGCCTTGGTTCAGAGTTCCCAGGAATGGACCCCAAATCACTTCCTCCTGGGCTGGGCTGCTGGGGGGATAGGAGCTGGGAACTTGGGGCTGCCCCCACCTTCAAGTGCCAGCATCAGGAAGGGAGACGCAGGGGTCGGAGCTGCGGAAGCCTGTGCCGAGGTCTCCCAGGCCAGAGATCAGGAGCCTGTCTTGGGGAGGTTTTGACAAGCCCTCCCCGCCCCCTCCCCGGTCCACTTCAGCGACTGACTGGAGTCTGAGACCCCCCCTCCCCCGACACTGAGTTGGGGGTTGTGTGGGGGTCCGTATACCAGGAGCCTGAGCCCCCAGCCCATGTTGAGCTCCCTGGTGGTGGTGGCCAGGGACGATCGGGGGTGCCCTTCCCTGACACCTTCTGGAACACTTTTGGGGGTTTCTGTGTCAATTTCCCTCAGGTTTGGGGGGACCCTACAGGGAGGAGACAAATCCTGAACCATCTTTTCAGCCTCCCAGCCCAGCTGCCATGAACCTGGCTCTTAAAGGGCCAGGCCTCTTTTTCTGCCACCCAGCAGGAGAGTTTTCCACCTGTTGGAGAAGACTTTGGGAGCTGAGAAAGGGGGCTCCCAGCCAACTGGGGTTCTACAGGGGCTTTCGAGAGTCTTCCTGGCCTTTGGGCTTGGATGCCCTGGGATGGCTGTAGGGAGCTGGGGGCTGGGTGCCCTGGGTCCTGGCCCTGTCACAGGCACTTTACTGAAGCAGGGGCTCGGATGGAGGGGAGGGAGGCCGGCCGTGAGCCCATTGCACACAGGGGTGATGGGGCTGTGGCCACTGTCCACCTCGTGGTTTTGTAATGATTCGTACAGGAATAAACACACCTAAACTCCACTGCTGTTTCCTGCATGTGTCTGAGCTGGCGCTCTGTGGCCCAGGAGCTCACAGAGGCCCACTGTGTGCTTTTATCACCTTTGCAGGGGCCAGTACATCAGGCATTTGGCTGCCTGGGAGGCAGCCTGACAGGTGTGAGGGTACCAAGCCCACCCTGCCTGTGTGTGACCCTGATCACTGTGGTACTGAAGCCACAGGCCCCCCAGCAGTGCCCTGGTAGTCTCAGTGGAGGGAGGAGGAGAGTTGAGCTCCAGGGCCTGGGAGGCTGAGAGGGGGCAACTGAAGTTTGGCCAGCAGGCACCCCCAGTAGGACCCCAGATGGGCTGAGGATGTGTGGGTCCCACCGCTGCCCACCACTGGGCTCTATGCAAAATGCCTGTTCCCTCCAGGGCGGCACAAGGCAGGGGCCATGTCTCCCAAGTTTACAAGCTGTTTGGACAGATAAGATGCCCTTGGGGACAGGGCTTAACAAAGGGTGATTTGTGCCAGACAAGGGCAGGCAGTCTGCTGGGCTCCCCAGGGGCTGGCTGAGAATGGGAAGGAGAGCTCTCTGTTGGCACAAGGCCAGCAACACAGGTGCTGGGCAGAGGAGGAATGTGGCCAGGAGTTGGGGGTCATCAATGGGGGCATCACAGCCTCAATCAGGAGGCAGCTGCAAAGAGGAGGAAGGAGATGACGCAGAGGACCGGGAGGGTGGTCTGAGGCAGCTTGGCCTGAGGCAGCGTTCTTGCCTGAAGACGCCAGGGGACAGCAGCTGGGAGGCTGGGAGGTGACCCAGCGGCCAGTTGACGGGCGTGCTGACAGAGGTCGTCTGTAGTAAAGAGGAAAGGAGGAACTTTGCACAGATCCAGCTTGGGGACCATCATGGGGTTTGAGGGATATGACACATTTTTTCCTGTCACAGCAAAGTCTTCTGGGATTGCCGGCCCAGAAATTCAGCAGCACCCTGGTCCCTCTGTCTGCCCAGGAGTTACAGAAAGACAGTGTCTAATTGGATGATATAGCAATGATGGACTAAGGTAAGGGGCTCAGGAATCAGTAGTCAAGCACAGACCAGGTTGGGGGACCCTCAGTGATTAAGACTTCTCTAAGCTCTCAGACACTGGGAGTTAATGGCCTGAAGGTCACATGGGTGGAGCCTCGTCCCACGCTGTGCTTGGGGACTGCCAGGAAAGGTCATGGGCATCAGAAAGGGCATTCCTGTGCTCCCACTGACTGCTAAGTCCACAACTGGTAAGCTTTGTGGGGCACTCAGCCACACAGCACTAAGAGGGGGTCGGTCACTGGGACGGTCCTCTGAGCCTCAGAAGGTGGGCTTTTGGTGGTAGAAACCTTGGGTGGGCGGTCTAGGCTAGGTGAGCCTAAGACCCCAGGCCCGCTGCCAGGATCCGGCGGATGCTGAACCCTCATGGCCAAAGTCAGCTTCCTGGGGAGTGACCACATCATGCTTCTTTGTCACCAGTGGCTGTGAGTCCCCTGTCAAGATCAAATCGCCTCCTGGTGGGGGGCCCAGTCCCTCCTGTGCCTGCGTTTATGCTCTTCTTTCTGACCCCTGGGAGGTCCAGTCCCCCATCACAGCCCTTCCTCCTCCTGGCTGGGCTTCCTGTCCAGCTGTTTCCTGAAGATGGCAGTGATGTTGCTGTTCCATCAGCCAGGCCCAACTGGGTCACCTGGCTCCCCGCCCCCCTGCCTGTTGCTGGTACGCCCAGCTGTCCAGCTGTGAACCTCAGAGGGAGCAGACCCTGCCTTGGGTTTGTTTTCAAATCTTGGAATTCTTTCTGTAACCAAAGTGTTTTTAACTGTTTTTTTTTTTTTAAATAAAAACCTTGGTTTTATTTTTCTGTTTACATTTTAAAATAATGTTCTGAATTGTTAGAATTGTTATGAAGTGACTTAAACCGTGCAGCTGATACAAGGTATACAACAATGCCATCACCCAGGCCCTGAAGGCAATTTCTGATTGTAAGATAACAAGGTTTATCTTCATGGAGCTGCAAGGCAAAAATTAAATAAAATCTAGGACTAGACTTTGCAAGCATAGCCACACACACAAATGCGATGGTTGCCCCTTGTCCTTTGTTTAGGGTATAGACAGGAAATAAAATCCTTGTATTTAATTGATCAAAAGATGTATTCATTTCCATTGAAAATGAAAATTTACAGAGAGCAGGAGAGACAGAGAGGAAGAGCTTCTGTCTGCTGGTTCACTTTCCAAGTGGCCACAATGGCTGGAGCTGAGTCGATCTAAACCCACGAGCACAGAGCCTCTTCGAGGTCTCCCACGCGGGTGCAGGGTCCCAAGGCCTTGGGCCATCCTCGACTGCTTTCCCAGGCCACAGGCAGGGTGCTGGAAGAGTAGAGCTGCCAGGATTAGAACTGGCATCCATACAGGATCCCAGCATTTGCAAAGCAAGGATTTCGCCACTGAGTCGGCATTCTGGGCCCAATTCCCACATTTTAGCATCCCAATAGTGGTAGATACGCAACTAAAATAATTAGGTCAAGTGCCTAAAATTGTCTTTTTAATTTGTAATGTTTACTTTTTTGGAATTTGCCAAAAAACAAACAATAAAATCCAAACTACACAATGCAAAGTCCTCCGAGCAGGTCAGCCATTCTCCTCAGAATTTCTCATCGTGTGCATGTCGACCACTGAGCCATCTCTGTTCTCTCCCTGGCTGCTTCCCACCCACACCTGGCCTGAGTCCTGGCACCTGCTTTCCTTGTCTATGTCTCATCTTCAGAGGCCTCAGAGAAGTGAAATCCAAGGGGGCTTATCTTTTTGGGACTGGCTTGTTCCACTTAGCACAGCATCCTCGAAGTTCATGGTCACACTCAAATGGTTTTCTATAAGATGTGATCCATGCTTGTGGTATAGGAAAAAAAAAAAAAAAACCTTGAAAGAGCTTGCGTAAAGTGTCAGTCTCACTTCAAACCTGGGCGGTCCCACGCAGACATCCACCCTGCCAGAGATGCCCTAGTTTCTCAAATTCAAGATGCCATGGATTTAAAAATGTGTTTATTTTTACTTATTTGAAAGGCAGAGCTACAGGGACAGACATGGAGATCTTCCATCCATAGGTTCATTCCTCTACTGCTAACAGGTGAGGGCCAGGTTGAAGCCAGGAGCTTCTTCCAGGTCTCCCACGTGGGCGCAAGGGCCCAAGCACTTGGGCCATCTGCTGCTGCTTTCCCAGGCTATTAGCAGGGAGCTGGGTCAGAAGTGGAACAGCTGGGACCTGAACCAGCACTCAAACAGCATTGCCAGCGGTGTAGGCTCACCACAATGCTGAGTCTGAGTCAACAGGATTGTAACTTTGCAGAATTAAAATGCAAAAAAGAAAAAAAGATCAAATCTGGGACTAGATTCCAGTCACAACCACACATGTGTGAACACACGCAGGCATATTTAGAGCTATTTTACGCAGGTTTGACTGGAGCAGCGTGGGTGGACTCTCACCAATGCTGGGCCTGTCAGGAGCCTCTTGTCTCACCAGTTCTCCTGATAAGTCTCATTTGACCACACATCTTGTGTGGCTCCCTGCTGCCTACAACACAAATCCCAAAATTCAATCCACCCCACCCCATCCTCTTGGGTTGCTGCCTTCCAGGCTATGCTGCCATGTGGTGGTCAAGTGTGTGGGTTCTGTTCTGCAGCTGGGTGGTCGGTTCTGGGCTCCCAGTCCTGTGTGCCACCTCTCTTGGCACCTACTGCCAGGGACCCGTCTCCTGACAAAGGGCGGGAGAAGCATGTGGCGTGCCACCAACAAGCCTCACATCCCATTCTTGTTAAGGATTTCAGCCCCAGGCCCCGCTGTCTTCTGATTGGTTTTACTCTTGTTAACAGGACAGGTGCTTGATGTGGGTGCTTACAACATCCTCAACATTGCCTGATCTAGGGGTGCTTCAGCCGTCTCTGTTGGGGGGGCAAGGCTGGATCTGCTCTGAGCAACAGCAGGAGATGAGTGTGCCCCACAGTGGGTGTCGGTTCAGGTCCTCTGGCAGAGTCTGGCCACTCTGCCCCTGTAGCATCTTGTGCCAGCTGCCTCTCATCTTTGGGCTTAGTTTCCCCTGGAGTGATGGTGGGCAGAGCAGCGGGGGCGCAACAAACGCTGCTGGCAAACCGCGAAGGGCAGCGCGCAGCCACTTTTGGATGATCCTCCAGGGGTGCCAGTCTTGCCCGGGCTCGCCAGGCCCAGGCCCCCCCTCGCCCAGGCCCCCTCCCTCCTTGCCCGCTCCCCCTCCCTCCCAGCCTCGGGGAGCGCCGGTTCCCAGCATGCCGCGCGCTGACAGCCTTATAAATAGTCGCCTTTGCGGGCGGCCGTAGGACGGGTAGGGCACGTACGGCCCGGTGCCCACCGCAGCCGCCCCCTACCCGCACCGCCAGGTCAGTTCGCGCTCACCCGCGGCTGGGGCGGGGGGATGGTGCAGGGGGTAAGATGTCTGTGCGCGGAGGTTGGGGGAAGGCGCCCCTGCAGGGCGCGGGGCCGCGCACCTGGTGGGGGGGTGCGAATGTGTTTGCGTCCGGCTGGGTTTGTGCGTGACTGCACGCTCGGCGGCGGTGACCTCTCTTTGCGTGGTTGGCGCCTTCGGCTTGGGCGTGCGCCCAGGTGCTGTGCCTTTGTGGATCGGCGTGTGTGTGTGTGTGTGTGTGTGTGTGTGTGTGGCAGCCCCTCCTGGCTTCCCAGGCAGTCCCCCTTTCGTCCCTGGCAGCTCTCGGGGTCCCCAGGTCCCTGCTCTTGGCTCATCCCTGCTGAGGTCCCCCGGAAGTGGGTGAGGGTGACTGGGGCCTGGTCTCCTGCCCCAGAGAATCCCAGGAAGGGCCAGCTCAGAGGGGCTGTCCTGGCTAGTCACTGGAGAGTTAGGGGCCTCCAAATCCCTGGATACTTGGGTCCCTGCCCCAACCTCCTGCCTGCCAGGGCCAGCACACCAGGACTGCCCATGGCCCCCTCTACTGACCACCCCAACCACAGTCACAGCCACAAGGCCAGAGAGGGGACACTGCCACCCAAGGTCACACAGCTGAGCGATGAGACTGGGACTGGAGCCTCAGGCAGTTGCCAACTCCTGGGAGGGCTGCTCTTGGCTCAGGAGCTGGGAGTTTGCGTGGTGATGAGGGTGATGTCCCTGCCTCTGCCGGGCCTCAGCTCCCTGGATGCCCCAGGAGAGCACCCAGGCCTGCCCTGGGAGCCTTAAAAGGCTTGGGTGAGGGTGTGCTGAGCCCGTAACCCAACCCCGCTTGGACCCCTGGCCTCTAGGAGGCCTCCCTCTTCACCATCCAAGTTATTTTGGTCCAAGGAAACGGCAGGTGCCAGCAGGACAGAGGGGCTTGGGTTACCCGGAGGCCGGGTCAGGCCACACTGCTCAGGGCTTCACTGTGGCTAGACCTGTCACGGGGCAGTCCCCCACCCCTGGGCAGCTGCTAAGGGGCTGGAGGCACTCAGCCCTCCTTCAGCCCACTCAGCAGGAAAGTGGCTGTAACTCATGCCCCACAGGGAGGCACCACCAGCATAGCTATCTTGGGCCCTGCCAGGTGCCAGGCCCAGAGTGGCAGACCTGAGTGTGACCCCAGTGGACCTCTGAGCTAGTCCATGTTCAATCCCTCCCCCAGCCCTGTGCTCAGCACCCCTCAACCTGGTGTCAGGTCTTGCAGGTGAGGCACACAGCTCCCCACCCCTCCACCACCCCCAATCCAAGTGGCATGCCTGGCATGTCTGGTGCTGAAGAAGCTTAGAGAAGGCACCTGCTAGTGTGGGAGGGAGGGCACAGTCCAGGAGGCCTTCCGGGAGATGACACTTGAGCTGAGTCTTCAGCCATGGCAAGTGGGGGAAAGGCAGCAGTGCTGCGTGACATATCTGCCAAGGTGTGGAGAGTCATCACCACGGTGAGTGAAGGGGCTCCACGCCCGAGGCAGCACTTGCGACCCTGCCAGCTCGGTTAAGGGACTGGGTTTTGTCCTGGGAACTGAAGAAGTCGCTTACAAAAGGCTTGTAAGCAGGTGAGTGACATGGGCCCATGCTTGTCAGCCAGGGGTGGACACACTGAAACGGGGTGAGATGGAGCAGGGGAGGCTGGTCGGGGAGGTTGGATGGAGGTAGTAGCTGCAGTGGTGGGAGAGGAACTTTGTAACTCTGCTACTAATGTGGGGCTGCACAGGGCTGGGAGCCAGGCCTGAGCTTGCTGCGCAGGTGTGAGGGGTCCCCCAGCCGAGGCCCTGAGGGAGAGGTTGACGGACCTGGGAGATAGGGTTCAGGGTCAACATAAGGATGATTCTTGATCATGGCTGGTGGTGTTGGGATGTGTGTGGGATGGGGTGATGGGGGGAAGGAAGAAGGGGCCAGAGATGGGAAGGGGCAGTTTGGAGGCGCTGATGAGGGCATGAAGTGGTAGGGGAGGCGTAGGGTTGGACCCTGGGAGAGGTTGGGGAAGGGGGCAGTGAGACAAGGTTCTTTCCCCCTTGAGAGGGGGAATGGCAGAGCCCCTGTGTGTGAGGGGGAGATTAGCCCACCCAGAGGTGCAGGGACAACAGTCTGGAACCTCTCACTTTGAACACTGGCAGGAGTTCCTGCAGACCCCACACCCTTGGGCCCAGGAGTGCTTTAACGCATCCTGGTGCAGGAGGCGTCCCAGGTGAGGCGTCCCAGGGTTCTGTTATACCAACAGCTTCCCGGCAGGCAGGCTCCCCCATCCTCTGTTGTCAGGGTGCTGGGCAGACAGTGGCCCCGCCTCTGGTTCCTGGAGCCATACGGGAGTGGTTCCTCAAGGTGCCTCAAGGGTGCCTTTGTTGCCACCCTTGAGGCACCCCAGGGACACAGCAGGGGGTGACCAACCGTCCTTCAGGGGCAGATGACACAACGGAAACTGCAGAGGGAAGGGAACTTCCTCAAAGTGACCCCCACCCTCTGCCCTCAGCTTGCATATATACTGAGCCAGGCCGTGCTAGGCGCCCTGCGTTGCAGCTTAAGCTGAGCCGGGGTGGGGAGAAGGACCTCCCCCTGGCCCCCCTCCTCCACACACACACCTGTGCCCTTGTCTTGCAGACGCTGATTCAGCTCCTCAGACTGTGACAGGATGGAAGGTATGTGGTGCTCCTGCCCATAGCCTGGGCCTCAGTGTGCCCAGCTGCGAAGGGGGTCTGCTCCCAGAGAGGCAGGGAGGAGCTGGAAGAGGCTCAGGCTGCTGGAGTGGGCCCACCTAGGAGTTTCTGGTCTCCTCTTCCTCCAGGCCCCCATGGGTTAATTTTAGACTCAGTGAGGTCTTCCTGCACTCCTGGAGCCCCCATGCCCCACCTCCACGCCCCTCCCATGGTATTTATACAGCTGAGCCCTGCCTGTCTGGGGCTGGGGGGGTCTGCTCTGCCAAGGGAACTCCCCTGCACCGTGTGCACAGAGCCCACCTCATGAGGCCAAGGCCATCCCTGGCCCTCTCTGAGATGAAAAATGGTGTGCCTGCAAAACCAATCCCCCTCAACCCGGTTCCTCTGGGCTGGGCCCGAGAGAGTGTGAATGGCCCACCCCTGGCTGGGATGCCGGCAGTACCACTGCTCACCCCTGGTACCGGGCAATCCTGGCTGCTGCCACCGCTGCGAGCCAAAGTCTTTGTATTTCCCTAGTACTCTGCCCCACGAACTTCAGTCACCCCGTGGCTGCAACCTCTTGCCCAGTCTCAAGTGCCAAGGGACCACAGCCTGGAGAAGTTTCTCTGACCGCTCCTCTAGGCACCACCCTCTTGCCCACACCCCACCCCTTGTCTGCCTGCCCAGGAGCAGAGGGAGACCTTAGTTTCCTTCTGTCCAGCAGTGAGGGGCTGGGGAACACGGTCACCCCAGCTTATGCAGAGGTAGAGGGCAGAACCGAAGTTGCTTGCTTCCCTGTCCAGACAAGAGCTGCGCACGCCCACTGCAGCCCTCCTCCCTGGCAACTGTCTCCATGGCAACACACGTTGTGGTTGCCAATGCCACATCATCGCCGTTGGAGCAGGCCGGCAGGCAATGGGCAGGGCCAGGCCTGAGAGGGACAGGGCAGGGGCACTAACAACACAGGACCATGGGATGCTGCTCTTCCAATGACCCTCGCAGCTGGGCGGACTCTCAGGCCAGAGGTGACCCAGCCCTGCTGCCTTCCACGTGCAAGGGGGGTGTCCTGGGGGCCATGTCCGGGGCCCCAGGCTGTGCCTCCTCTCAGCTCCTCTATCCTTAGGGCATCCTCACCTCTCTGCTTTCTCTCGGCTGGGACTGGGCTCCCTGTCCAGTGTCCGAGCCGTGTTAGGCCTGGGGTCCCAGCAAAGCCTAGGCTGTTGGTCTAGCCTGGCCCTGAGCTCTCCGTGTTGCCCTCTTCTGTCCCACAGAGAAGCTGAAGAAGGCCAAGATCATCTTTGTGGTGGGTGAGTCATGGGCAGGAGGGCAGGAGTCTGGCCGCGGCACCCTGGGCTCCCCAGCTTCCCTGTGACCACAGGGTTTCTCACTGTGCGGGCACTTGCAGGCGGGCCCGGCTCGGGGAAGGGTACACAATGTGAGAAGATTGTGCAGAAGTATGGCTACACCCACCTGTCCACTGGGGACCTCCTGCGGGCCGAGGTCAGCTCGGGCTCAGCCCGGGGCAAGAAGCTGTCGGAGATCATGGAGAAAGGGCAGCTGGTGCCACTGGTGAGTGGCCCCGGCGCCAGGCTGGCAAAGCCCATGCCATGCTGGCCAAGTTGACAGTGGCCCTTCCCTGGCCGTGTCCCCTCCTATGGGTCTCTGCTAACTTATTCAGAGAGTTCCTTCCAGAAGCATTCAAGTCCCTGGGGTACCCTGTCTTGTTACCCAGTCCCCACCTGTCCTCTCACTGCCCTGGCCTCTCTATCCCCTAGATGAGCCCACCCTCCTTCTGCCTGCCTCTCCCTGATCCCCAGCTAAGACCCCTCCTCTAGTTTCAACCCCCTGAGACCTCTTCTTTATTGTACCCTATGTGCCCTGCTGGGCCTTCCCTAGCCTGAGATGGGAGCTGTTGGTTTAATCAGAAGACTCTCGTTGGAGAGGGAGTTTGCCGAGGGTGTAGAGGTTGGGGTGCAGGAAACACATGAGCCAAGGCCCTAGAGGAAGGCTGGGGAGGAAAGCTCCAGAACCTTCTACTGTTGCTGCGCCCACAGGAGACGGTGCTGGACATGCTCCGAGATGCCATGGTGGCCAAAGCAGACACTTCTAAAGGCTTCCTCATCGATGGCTACCCACGGGAGGTGCAGCAGGGGGAGGAGTTTGAGCGGCGGGTAAGGCCCAGACCTGGGGCAGGAACGGTGAGGCAGGCCGGGATGCAGAGGAGGATCCAGAGAGGGAAGAACCCAGCTAGGGAATTCCCAGGCCCGAGACCCTGGGCCTTTCCTGGGGACCCCCAGTTGGGGATGGGGGGATCAGGCTGGAAAGGCAGGCCCAGTGGATGCCTAGGGTTGTGAATGGCATTATTGTGGTTACTCCCCAGGGGCACTATGCCCTTCATAGGGGCACCTCGCACAAGCACACATGTGTGCTTACATAACCTTGACAGTACAAGGGTATAGCACACACATGCAGCAGGGGCATACATGTGTCTCTGGGGCACAAGACCTCGAAGGCAAACATGGGGAAGCTGAACGCCTTGAGGGGAGAGAGCAGCAGAGAGGGTGGTGGGATTCTTGGGTCCCCCCCTTGAGATTGGAGTCAGGACCAGGCCTCCAACCCTCCACTCCCGGTCAGGTCACTATGGGAGTCACCTTGGGGCTTCTGTAGTTCCAAGCTGCAGCCAAAAGATTGTGTTTTGACCTCTGGGCATCGGCAAGACCCCAAGAGTCTGTTCTGTCCTCAGTCTCTTTTCCTCTCTGTAAAACAGGGGTTGGTTGGGCTCCTGTCTGACCCCTGATCCTGCACCCTGTGGTCGCAAGCCAGGCAGCTTTGAGGACTGCCCTGTCCTGGCCCAGACCCCTCAGCAGTGATGTCCCCTGTAGCCTATCTAGTAAGTGGGGTCCACGGAAATTCCCATTGCCCGGCTCCAACCAGATGGTCCCCAGGGCTCTGGGCAGCCGTATTCTGAGATCTGGACACCAGGGGGCACCAGGGTGTCACTGAGGGAGAAGGGGTGGCCCTCTGGCACGGCTGGAGGACCCAGAAAGGAGAAGGTGTGTGGCCTGCTCCAACCTCTTCAGACCAAGTGTCCAGAGCTGATGGGAAAACGGGGGTTCTACAGCCCAAGCCCCAGCCCAGGAGCCCCTGCCCAGGGCCTGAGCCACCTTCACAGATTCACTGCCTCCACCGTGTGTGTGTGTGTGTGTGTGTGTGTGTGTGTACACACATGCAGGTACATGTGTGTGGACAGCTGGCCCTGAGGAGGCTGAGAGGCTGGTGGCCTGTGGTGGCCTTGCAACTGGGGTGACGCGGCTGATCCTGGCCCAGCCCCCAACCTGCTCATGGTCCCCCCTGCACGAGGAGAACCCTAGAAGGTTGTCCTTCGTCAGTAGACAGCAGCGGAGGCCACCCTCCTTGAAGATGTCACTTCCAGTCCTTAGAACCCCCAGGAGACAGGGGCGGGAGTTGGGGTGGGCTCAGAGAGGGCAAGCAGCCAGGCCTAGGTCACAAAGCTGGGCAGGTGGAGGGGAGCCCTGGGATGGTCTGTGCTGGGGAGTAGCTTGCGCCTGCCATGGCCATGCAGAGAGGCTGCAGCAGCCAGCAGGGAAGGGCATGCGTGTGCAGGCCTGTCCCTGGCAGGCCTGAGTGCGTGCAGGGCTGGGGAGGCCACGGCAGTGCAGAAGGCCTGGTCCCTACCCTGAGGCTGCAGTAGCCAGGAATGATGGCTCTGTCGTTGCGGTTGGTGCTCCCTGGCTCTGGGAGGAGGCCCAGGGGTTTCTCTCCTATAGGCCTGGAGACCTGGTGGCGACAGAGGCAGGGGCCTACTCCTGGGGACTGGTGGCCAGGCAAGGGGAGGGCTGTGTCTCGGAGGGGCAGCGTGGAGGCCAGCTCGGGCAGTGGGTGCGTTCTCCCCACTCCTCAACAGGTCTTGCAGGAGCTCATCCCCCAAGGACTCAGCAGCTCCCCCTCTCCCGCCCCCCTTTTCCTCTGCCTAGCCAATGCCCCAAGGTCAAAGTCAGAGGCTACAGGCTAACTGCATTTCTGGAGGGTCTCGAGGTGCCAGTAATAGGACTGAGAGGGCACACCAGGGTGCAGGTGCAGGGGAGGGGCTTCTGGAGGTCAGGGGGCGGGGTCAGGGTGGAAGGGCAGGACTCCTGGCCAAGGGTCGCTGGTGGGTCTAGGCCTGGCATGGGAGGGGCAGGAGAGCAGGGGCTGCCACCAGGAGAGCCAGGACCCTCCGCGTGGGGGTGCGGACGATGGGGTGGCAGCGCGTGGCGCAGGAGCCCGGGTCCCTGTGACGTGGTGGCCCCTGCACGCAGATCGCGCAGCCCACGCTGCTGCTGTACGTGGACGCAGGCCCTGAGACCATGACGAAGCGGCTCCTGAAGCGCGGAGAGACCAGCGGGCGGGTGGACGACAATGAGGAGACCATCAAGAAGCGGCTGGATACCTACTACAAGGCCACGGAGCCTGTCATTGCCTTCTATGAGAAGCGCGGCATCGTGCGCAAGGTGCACCCCCGCCCCAACCCTCCCCCGGGCTGCTGTGCCGCCTGCCCCCTCCGTGGCCTCACGGCCTGTCTCTCCTCAGGTCAACGCCGAAGGCTCCGTGGACGATGTCTTCTCGCAGGTCTGCACCCACCTGGACGCCCTGAAGTAGCCGAGCGGGGGCCCTTCCCTGGTTCCGCCCGCAGCCGCCCGCCCCTGTCCTGCCTGGAGGAGGTCGCCCTGGCCCCAGCCCAGCGCCTCCGCCCTGCTCTGTGGAGCACAGACAGAGGAAGCCACGTTATCCTGTTTTCACGGACAACCCAGCACTAAAGGAATTGCCAAGGACATTTCGGTTTACTCCTTTTTTTTCTTCCTTCCAATCAGAGTTGATTCACCTGGGTGTGCCCGCCACGCGTGAGGCCTTGGCCCCTCAGCCCACCTCCAGTCAGCGCCTCCCCTCCCCCAGCTCTGGTGGGAGAGCCCCACCCGGGGGCCAGGCCCGAGACCCTGTGGTGACAGCAAGGTGGGCACCTTGCTCTAGGGCACAGCCTGGGTTCCTCTGCACCCTGCTGACACGGCTTTCATCTCTTTGTGTCTGGCCCTCCCTAGGCCTGGGCTTGGCAGGCAGTGAGGTCATGGGCTGGGGGCACTTCCTGGGACGGATGGGTGGTGCCCGCCAGTCCCCAACCCCAAGAGAACAGCGAGGTGGCCTGCTTGTGCACCAAACCCAGGCTAGGAGGTCAAGGCTACTGCAATTGAATGAGAGCGCAGAGTCAGGCTCAGGGTCACCTCTTTGGTGGTGGTGGTGTGGGGTGTGACCTGGAGGCCCCCCAACCCGGATGGTTCTGAGCAGCTCGCAAGCACAAACGGAGTCACTTGCAAGCCCAAACTAGGCCCTACGCACAGCTCTGACCACAGCCCACTCCCTGCCCCAAGTTGGGACAAGTTAGGGGCACAGGCAGGGACAGGAGTTTGACGTGGTAACCAAAGAACCGACAGGCAGGCCCACCTTCTGGGTTCTGTTTTTGCTCGTTCTGTGGCCTCATGGCTAGAAAGGCTCCATTCGGTGCTTGCCATGTCCTTGACAGCTGTCTGGGGCCCGGTCGAGGCTCCCCATGGGACCCAGGCGCCCTTGGCAGCCCCTGCCTGGGCTCATGTGTGCTCAGCATGCCCCCTTCTGTGACTGGCAGGGACCCTGGGCTCTGACCTCCACTAGTTCTTCCAAGTTCCCCCTCAAATAAATGTATTTAAGTTATAAAGAGAGAGTCTGCTGAGAGAAGCACCTGGAATCCACAAGAGAGGGGCACGCGTAGGCCAGGGCAGGCTCCATGGAGGGTACCAGCCTCAGACACAGGCCTCTGCACCTGCTCTCCTGCTCTGCACATTGGCCTGGGCAGGTGGGCAAGCAGGAGCTACAGATCCCGGGGGACCTCGGGCCCCCCACAGGTTGCGCGTGAACACGCACACTCCCCACACTGACACACTCATCGAATACATGATGCACACCACGACTCTCCACTCTCACACCAAGACACGCATACAGGCGCACAACACACACAAGTACACACATGTCCTCCTGGCTCAGGTTAGGCGGTCAGTGTGCATCAGGCAAGCATCAGACTGGAAGGACCCAGAGAGAGGTACCTGCCAAGGGGGCTTCATCACTGCCTTTATCCTGACAAGCTCATTCGCCCAGGGGCGTCCAGGCCAGGAAGCTACCCCAGCCCCGATGACTGAGTCAGCGCATTCATTTTAGAAACACTCTAGGGGGTCGGGACATCTGCAGCCCAGATCCCAGGACCTGGTTTGAGTCCGGGCTGCTTGGTATTTCTGATCCGAGTTCCTCCTCACGCACATCTCGGGAGGTGGCAGACGATGGCTCAAGGGCTTGGACCCCTGCCACTCACGCAGGAGACCTGGGTGGCGTTCCGGGCTCCTGGGCTCGGCCTGTGCCAGGCGCAGCCATTGCCAGCTTTTGAGGAGTGAACCAAGATGTGCGCGTTCTTGCTCTCTCCCTCTGTTTGTCTCTGTCTCTACTAGAAGGAAGAACAAACATCAGGAGCAAGCCCAAAGGCACTTCTCCTGTTACCGCCTCTCCAGACGCTGTTTGTGGAACTCATCAGATGTCACTCAACAGCTCCCCGACTCCGGTCCCCCCCCCACGCAGACCTGCAGCACTCCCTTCCCCCCTCCCCCCGGCAGCCGTGTTCATGGAGTTCCCCCCTACCCTGCTCAAGCAAGACCCCTTCCGGGCAGCGGAACACACAGCGCTGAAAAACCCGGGGTGAGCAGAAGACTGCTGAGCTGGTGCTCTGGGCCAGTGCTCTGCGGCTCTGGGAGTTCACGTCGTGTGCCTGGGAGGGCAGAGGGGACAGCCCTGGCAGCCTGCAGAGGTGGGGCCAACTGCTGGCTGAGGGCAGAGCTGAGGCCTCCGCGGGGACGGGGTGCAGGCTAGAGGGGATGCAGCAACAAGAGACAAACCTGGCAGTGACAAAGGACAGGGGGACTCGAATGCCAACACGAGTAGCTGACGCTTCTCCTATAGGCAATTTGAAGTTCAGAATTAGTGCTCCTTCCTTCCTTCCTTCCTCTCTCTTTTTTAAAAGATTTACTTGTTTTCATTGCAAAGTCAGATATACAGAGAGGAGGAGAGACAGATCTTCCATCCGATGATTCACTCCCCAAGTGACTGCAACGGCTGATGCTGCACCGATCCAAAGCCAGGAGCCAGGAGCCAAGAGTTCTTCCTGGTCTCCCACATAGGTGCAGGGTCCCAAGGCTTTGGGCTGTCCTTGACTGCTTTCCCAGGCCACAAGCAGGGAGCTGAATGGGAAGCGAGGCTGCCGGGATTAGAACCGGCGCCTATATGGGATCCCGGGCACGTTCAAGGTGAGGACTTTAGCCACTAGGCCACGGCGCCGGGTCCTTGGTGTATCTGTTTAAGGAACGTGGACACTTTCCTGAATCATCTCAAATCTGAGTGTCAGAAACATGGACTTAACCTGACTACAGAAAGAGCTGACTCTCTGTCCCAAGAAACTTTTTCTGGTTGTCCCCAAATGCTGCGATTCATGGCAGGTCTGTGGCACCCAGGATGCCACCCAGACTTGCACATGCCTCTGGCCGTGACACTGCTCGGGTCCTGTTAGGGCTCCTGCCTTCGAAATCGGCCGAGGAAGAGAACAGCTCTCCCCGTTTCACCCGTGGCTTCCTCTGGCTGCTCTACCTGGCTGTGGGAGCTGCGAGCTAGTCAAAAACATTCCCAATGTGCCAGTTTGGGCTTTGGGCCCAGAACTTCTAGGAGCTCATCACCAGGGAAAAAGCACACGGGGAATTAGCCCAGTTTTTGAGATACTGGTGAAAGGTGAGCTTAGCACACCCACTTCCCACATCAGAATGCCTGACCGGTTCTGATCCCACTTCCAATCCAGCTTCCTGCCAACGGGCTCCATGGAGAGGCAGCGGATGGCGGCTCTGGAACTTGGGGCCTGGCCCTTCACGTGAGGGGGAGATGGAGCTCCAGGCTCTTGGCTTCTGCTAGGTTGTTGCACGCTTTTGGAGCGTGAACCAACGAATGAAAGCGCTCACTCGGTCTTGCTCTTACTGTCTTTCAGCAGGTCACATAAAGTGAAAAATAATAAGCAGTTTTTTGGTTTCTTTTTAAAATTACTTTTAATTATTTTTTAAATTATTTTTTTAATTATTTTTTTTTATTGCAAAGTCAGATATACAGAGAGGAGGAGTGACAGAGAGGAAGATCCTCCATCTGATGATTCACTCCCCAAGTGAGTGCAACGGCTGATGCTGTGCCAATCCAAAGCCAGAAGCCAGGAACTTCCTCCAGATCTTTCACACAGGTACAGGGTCCCAAGGCTTTGGGTCGTCCTCGACTGCTTTCCCAGGCCACAAGCAGGGAGCTGGAGGGGAAGTGGGGCTGCCAGGATTAGAACTGGTGTCCATACGGGATCCCAGCACATTCAAAGGTGAGAATCTTAGCTTCTTGGCCATCACGTCAGGCCCCTGTTTCATTTATAATAAACATTTTTTAAAGAAGTCTTAAGATAGAAGATGCTAGTTAAGGCAGCTGAACCTCACATCTGGGTACCTTGATTTAATGTCTGATTCTGGCTCCTTAAAACAGTATTTATTTATTTGAGAGGCAGAGTTGCAGAGAAAGGGAAAGACAGAGAGAAAGACACGCACACACAGAGAAATCTTCCATCTGCTGGTTTATTCTCTAAGTGGCTACAATGGCCGGGGCTGAACTGGTCTGAAGCCAAGAGCTTCTTGTACCCACATGGGTGCAGGGTCCGAAGCACTTGCCCCATCCTCGGCCACTTTTTGCCCACCTCTGGCTCCTGACTCTAGCTTCCTGCTGACGTCCGGGTTGATGTGGGCAGCTGCATCCCTGCCCCACACAGCTGGCCTGCGTTGAGTGCCAGGCTCCCAGCTCCAGCCCTTGCCAGCGGAGTGCATCAGTGGACAGGAGCTGTCTAGTTCTCTTTCGCTCTCAAATAAGTGTTTTTTTTTTTTTTTTTTGTAAGAGATTAAAAAGAATCTAATGAAAAATCAAAGCCAACTGTCAGGTCGGGTTTGCCTGAGTCCCTGTTTCCCTAGGGTCTCACCTAAGGCTGCCTCTGGTGGGCAGGTGTGGGCAGTGCCAACAGGCTCATGTGTGCAGAGGAAGGACCAGCAGCGCCCAGATCGGGAGGGAGCCTAGGGGTGGAAGGGGGGCTCCCCCACCCTGTGCGTGCAAGGAGAGCTGAGCAGGCTGACTTGGAAAAGGTCAAAGCTATCACTCTTCTTGTCTCTCAGGACACCCCAGGCAGGCAGGGCCGACTATTCCAGCCAGCCCCCCAACACCAATGTCTCTGTCAACCTTGGGGTCTCCGGGACTGAAAGCACCTGGGTGGTCCCCGCTCAAGTGATGGTCCCCCACTGCTGGGCTGGGCCCCCAAGTCTTGGCCTCGTGGGCTCCCGAGGGCCTAGGCCGGAGACGCAGAAGTGGAAGAGGAAGGAAACCGGAGCAGAGGAGGCCAAGGCTGTCGCCTCCCAGCCGCGAGAGGGGCTCGAGTAAACAGGAAGGCCTGGCGGCTCCACTGAGGTGGGGGGGCAGGCAGGAGGGGACGAGGAGGAAGCAGGCCCAGTGAGGTCCTGTGGCTTCCCCAAGTCACACAGCAGCGGATGCGTGGGACCAGACCCTCGTGGGCTTCTACCCCTTCCTGGGGGTCTGGTGCAGGGTGTCCTGTCTTCAGAGATCATTGTGGGGCCCTGCGCAGTATCCTAGTAGCTAAATCCTTGCCCTACAACTGCCGGGATCCCATATGGACACTGGTTCGTATCCCGGCTGCTCCACTTCACATTCAGTTCCCTGCTTGTGGGCTGGGAAGGCAGTGCAGGATAGCCCAAAGCCTTGGGATCCTATACCCATGGGGGAGACCCAGAGGAGTTTCCTGGCTCATGACTTTGGGTTGGCTCAACTCTGGCCATTGTGGACACTTAGAGAATAAACCAACCGACAGAAAATCTTTCTCTGTGTCTCTCCTTCTCTCTGGAAATCTAGCTTTCCAATGAAAAAAAAAATCTTACAAAAAAAAAAAAAAAAGATCATTGTGGCAGCTGGAGTTCCAGAAAAATACACTCCCTCCTTCACAGCCTTAATTTCCCTTCCCATGAACTCAGGAGTTCTAGACGCTTCTTTGGCCCAATAGGTGATCCTCACAGGTTCCGTGGACCCTGGAGAGTGGGCTTCATGGGCAGGGCCACACAGGACTTGGAGGCAGCGGGGAGACGATGACTCCCAGGAACCCTGTTCTGGAAGCGGAGACTGCAGGATCCAAGCCCCAGCCACCCTGTGTCCTGAGCTGGTCATTCTCCTTCTGCAATTCCGCTGGACTCAGAACCCCTGACAGCAATGTCCTGGGAATGCAGAGCCATCCCCCACCTAGAAGGCTTGGAGGTGCAGCCCAGTGGCTAGACCCATTCAGTGGTTCACCGGGTTCACCTGAGCCAGGCCCTTCTGAGAGACACAGCATGTGACAAAGCAGTGGCCTTGACCTCATGGGATGTCCATCTTGGGAGGGGAAACGCGCTGTGTGTCTGCTGGTGATGCATGTCCCAAGGGCCGAGTGCAGGTGAGGAAGGGTTTCGGTGAGTGCAAAGGGCTTGAGGCAGACAGGGACTGGTCATGCTCAGGGGTCAGCTGGGGCCAGTGTGGCTGGCATACAGGGAGCAGTGGGGAGAAACCTGGGAAGTGAGGCTGGAGGTGGGCCTGGAAACCTCACCTCCATGTGGATGGCCCTGACTGCTGTTCCCAGTGAGGAGATTGTTGGCAGGCAGGTGGGGTTGAGCCAGTATCTTTTCTTTGACAGCACCCTAGAGGGTGTGGGGAGGGGGCTGGGGCAAGTGCAAAGCCACACGGATTCTGGAAGTGGAGGGGACAGTGACCTTGCAAGAGGAGATTATCGTAGATCTGCCAATCCGGGTGTGCAAAGGAACACCCATCAGGAACCACCCCAGGCTTGCAGGTGAGAGCAGCCATTGTGGTCTTTCCAAGCCATTGTGAAGCTCCTGGTTTGGGGCCAGCCTAGCTGTGGCCATTGTGGACATTTGGGGAGTAAATCAGCAGGTGGAGATCTCTCTGTGTCTCTCTTCTTCTGCCTATAATTTAAATAAATAATATTAATAATAATACATTGAAAGAAATGGAGAGGCTGAGATGGGAGCAGAGTGCAGGAAGCCCGCAGCCAAGCAGTGGCTGTGTCAAGGTGGAGTCATCCCCGGGAGCTGAATATGCTCAGTGCACAGCCAGCTCTGGGCTCATTCATCTACACCTGCTGCGCAGTCACGGGTTTTCCTCTCTGGCAGGGGCCCAATGACAGGTGATCAATCACAGTAGCTTGTCATCAGTAGCACCAGACAATTGGGACAGATGGCCGTGAAAGGGGGCGGTACGCTGGGTCTTACTGGATACAACACTCCAGGCACCAGGGTCTGAGAAAACCCCTATGGACAAAGAAAGGCAGGAACGCAGGCAGGGACCAAGCACATGGGTAGAGGCAACGGAGGGGGACAGGGGAAGACAGACGACCATCAGCATGGCAGGAGGACAACCGGGATGGCTTGTTCTAGAAGCTCCTCTGAGTCAGTTTTCCTCCCATTGTGCAGACAAAAACACTGAGGCCCAGAAGGTGAAAAAGGTCCTTGCCCTGAGGCCACCTGGCCTCGGCAGCACAGAGTCCGGACAACCCTTTGGTTGGAGGCTAATCCTGCTGTTATCAGCAAGACCACGGCTGGAGACAGACGGCCGCCGGGGGTCCCCGGGGGCCTCGTGGAATGCTCCAATGGCCGGTGGCCAGTGTCGACGTGCCACATCCCTTCCTGCATCCCAGCCTCCCTGGCCAGCCAGGGGAGGAAGGAGCGAACGTGTGTATCTGTCCGCTGCCTGCACTAGGCCAGGAGTTGCTGCCAGCAGGCACGTGTCTGTCTGGCTCTGGCTGCTGTGGACAGGCAACCCTGGGAAGCCAATGAGTGGGCCAGGGCCCCAGTGGGAAATGGATGGCTCCAGGGACATGTGGGGTAGCTTGATGAAGGGAGGCATGCAGGACGCTGGGCAAGTGCACAAACTACCTCCAAGGCGGGCCGGGATGGGGACACGACACCCCAGCCTGATGGGGAGAATAGAGGAGCCCATGCCACAGCCAGCCAGGCTGCAACCTTCCATAGGACCTTTTACCAAACCCACGTCCAGGGCCTGACTCCGTACTGGGCACCAGGGAGCAGTGCAGAGGACATTGGCAACCCTGCCTCATGTGCTGCTCTAGGTGTCGTGGAAGCTGGGTGCTGTGTGCTCAGGGTGCCATGGGAGCTAGCAGTGCCCTCCTCTGCCCCCTGGGGGTCCCAGGCCCCAGACCTTCCTGTGGTTTATTCCTCTCCCTATGACTTTTCTGTAAGTTCCTCCCCCCGCCCCCGTCCACTTGGAGGCTCTCCTGCTTTCTAGGGAGTCTAGTGGGTCTCATTTATAACCCAGACGGGGGTGGAGTGTGGGGGGTGAGATGTGGAGGGACTCGGGTGGGAGGGAGGGCTGAGACATTCCATGGGGGTTCCCTGAGGTTATGACCCCCATTGTAGTCAGAGCCCCACCCCTCGCCACCAACACACACGACCTAAACCTACACGACCTACAAGCCCCTTGGTCAGCCGCTTGGTCAGCCAGGAGGGGCAGGGAGCAGCTGAGCTTGGAGCTAGAGTCTCCAGTTTTCTTGGGCTCCCCCACTGTAAAATGGGGGGATAACGGACATATCTTATGAGAGCTGATAAGGTGAACGCCTTGGGTGGGCCCTGCTGGAGACAAGGCTGGATTAACTGTTCTTAGGACTGCCCCACAGCCACCTGCTAAGCCACCCTAGGCTGGAGGCAAAGGTAGAGAAGGCATCCCATGGCAGGCAAGGGGCACTGCTAGGAGGGGGTGGGTCTCCCTGGATCCCACTGCCATGTGTGGCTGGGGGCCTGCAGCCGGGCAGCCCCAGGGATCAGGGACCCTCCCTTTAGTCCCTACTTAAGGAGCCATACCACCCTGCCCACCCTGGGTCAGCTGTAGCAGAGACAAACTCAGGAGCCCTTTTGGTCACCACAGAAGGTCAATGAGGGCTGGGAGCGTCTGGGGCCCAGATCTTGGACCCTAGGCTGCCAGGGCTCCTGCCTCCTCCTCCCTCCTGGGCCACCATCTCTCCTCCTGTGACCTGCACAAGCACAGGGAGAAGTACCCTGTGCCATCCCAGGGCGGGTCCTGCTCTGCGACCCGCCCAGCTCTGCGACCACCTGCTCAGCAGTCCTCCGAGGCTCCCACTGGCTTTTTAGTCCTGGCATTCAAGCCTCCCACCCCCAGCCCTCTAAGCCGGCTTCCTGTTTCCACCACATCCCTCTGGTCCCCAGGTGTCTGACCCCTTCCTGCCCCTGTGCTAACTCCCAGCTGGCCCCCGGCCCAACAGGTCCCTCCTCACCCCTGCTTCTTCCCACCAGTTAGCTCAGGCTCCTCCTAAGAGCTCCTGTGGACCTGACCCTAGGAGCCACCTGTGATGAACATGGGGTGCACAGAGCAGGTATCCACTATTTGCACACTGAACATGGGTCGGATCTGGGACTGTGGCCAGGCTCAGGGTGTCAGCCCCAGGGTTTGCTGGGAATTCTCACAGCTGCCCCGTGGGCATGACCCTGCCAGGCCCTGCTTGCCAAGCAGGTGTCTGGGAATTGAGGACTCCGGGTCTCAGGGATGCAAGCTCTGTGCATACCCTGGGACTCGAACCCAGGGTCCCTCAAGGGTAGTTTTTTTTTTTTTTGTGCCTTGAGGATTTTCTATCCAGGAGAGGTGCACAGATGCCTAGTGGGTGCATCTGGTCCCAACCCATCATCTTCTGAACTAGTAGCCTATTGTCATCAGTCTTCCAATCCCGCATCTGGAAAATGGGAGTGCCAAGAGCTGGGGACTAACGGGCATCCGTGGGCCTGCTGGGTGGGAATCTGTTCTCACCCACCCACCTGCAGGGAAGCCTGGGTCCTCCCGCCCTACTGCACCCCCCCAACCCTGTCCTGAATCCCCAGGGCCCCCCACCCAGCGACAAAGCCTGCAGCACTTCCTCTCCCTGCCTGGCAGGCAGCCTGGGCCAGCCCCTTCTCTAAGCAAACGCATTTCCTGCCTCCCTGGGCCGGGCTGGATGAGCCAGAACTCCCTGCCGCCGCCACTGCTACCACTGCCGCCACTGCCGGTCATACCCCGGCCTCCATCTGCACCTGGGACCACCACGCCACTGCTGCTGCCGTCACCACTACCACCACCATCCCCAGCACCCCGGCAGCCCTCTCCTCCTCGCCACCGGCCAGCACCCTCCACCCAGCCCACTTCTCCTGAGCCCTCAGCCGCCACCCCAGAAGGCTGGAGCAGGGACGCCGCCGCTCCGGCCGCCTGCTCCCCTCGTGTCCCCGCGCGAGCCCACGCCGGTCCCGGCGCCCGCCCGCAGCCCTGCCCCTGGACACTGGATAAGGCCCAGCCCGCACAGCCTCAAGCGGACGGCATGGACCTCGGCACGCTCCCCCGGCTTGTGGCCCTGCTACTGGCCGTCTGCAACCTCAGCCCTGCAAGTAGGTGTTGGGGGGGACACGGGGTGGGGACAGAACTGGCCCCCAGCTGGTGCTTTCATAAGCTCATGCCCTAGCTGTGGGCCATGCTGGGGTCTCTGGGCAGTACCCACCTGTCCCTGGCTCCTGGTGCTGGGAACTTTCAGACTTCACGCTCTGAATGTCTGGGAAAACAGGAATATCTTCCTTATCTTGACCTCCCAGTGTGTCCACACTACCCCTGGAAACCTCAGGTCCTGCAATGCTGTGCAGCCTTGGGAAAGTCCACCCCCTCTTTGGGCCTTGAGTTGCCCAGCTAAGGGGTGTGTTGGGAGGTGCACCCATGCTGGGTTACTTCTTCACAGTGTGATCTTTGGGGACCTGTGGAGGCTGCGAGCAAAGGCTCCTGGGGCCCGGGAAGGCCATTGTGGGTGTTTTCTGTCACCTTCAACTCCCTCCTCCAACCCTTTGGGGCCTTGCCCGGTGCCTTCTGCTCCCCAAGAAGAATGTGGGTCAGGGTACAAGCCCAGGGTGGGGTCCTGGGGGCTTCTCCGGGGAATCTTTGTGTCTCAGAAACTGACCAGAAGAAAGAGGCCAGCTGCTCAAGGTAGGAGGTCTCAGAGCCACCAGCCAGCCCTGGAAACCCTTCATTCCACTGCCAGGGTCTCCCTCAGGGCTCTGCAGGGAGAGGCTGTAGCCTGGAGCCAGGCATGAGGGGCAGAAAGGTGTCGGTAGCAGCCTCGCCACTGCCTCAAGCCCCTAGACCAGGCCCCAGACATCCTCCCTGACCTGCTCAGCGGCTTAGCAGGGATTTGGCCCCAAACTGTAGGCTTCTCCTATGAATCCCCAAGTTGTCTCCCACCTGTGGCTCCCATCCCCCTGCCCCCCATTTCCTGCTGGGGATAAGTTCCCTCCTTTGGGTCTTTGAAAAAGATCCATGCGGGGTTTGGGGTCCGGTCTAACAGGCTGGAGGTCAGCAGTGACCAGGGCAGCAGGTGCCCACTGGTTGTCAGGGGGCCCGTTTTGCAGCCTGCTTTTCGCTCGCTCGCTCCTTGCTGTACACATGCCCAAAGTGCCCATGCCCAACTCCCAGCTCCCAGGTCCCAAGCCCAGGATCACGACCTGGTGCCTCCCCTCCCAGGAAGTGACAGCACACAGAATGAAACAATGAGGCAGTGCCCCAAGCTTAGGTATTTAGTATGTTTTATGTAGCTATCCAGTTTGTTTAACTGGAAGCTTGAGCAGCTCGGTCTATAGCTCCAGCTTTGAAAAAATCTAGGGGAAATGTTGTCTGTCTGATGCTGGAAGTAGGCAGCAGCCAGACCCAGCCAGCATACAGGGGTCGCAGGTTCAAGGGCACCAGCACTCCTCCCCCACCCGCCGCCCCCAAGCATCACTTGCCCAAGTCTAAAAATCCATGTGGTCATCAGTGCCATCCATGTGCCCCAGCAGGGGGCCCAGGACATAAGTCACAATGCAGTGGGTTATCCGTGTGGCCTGGCCAGGTCCGTAACAGCAAACAGCCAGAACGTGCACTGTGCATACAGAACATTCTAGAAGGACGAGCATCCATATGACTGCTCTCTAGGCTGGGGAGCTTCTGAGGGGGGTCCTCAGTAAGACCCACTCTTCTATGCCATGCTGGAAGTGTTTATTTCAGCATAAGCCTGTAGAAATGTTGAAAAAAGCAATTTATCCTGACTTGCGCAGTAAGAGCCTGTGAGGGTGTGACAGGTTGATGGGTCTGTGCCGTTTTTCTGGTTTCACTGGGTCATTTTCACCCAGGTGTGTCAACATTTTGGAGTCCTGGGTCCCAGGGCTTTCCTCAATATCTTGTGGACTCTAGAACCACTTTATTACAGTTCTGGAATGTTCTGTGCTTTAAATGTTCCACCATTTGCTTTGGGAATCCCTTATTGTGGAATATTTAGGTGGCTCCCCGCTTTGTTCTAGCTACAAATACTACCTTCATGCACGTTTTTTGGTCCATGCACCTTTTCCTGGATTGAAGATTAATTGCATTTGGATGGAGTCCCAGAAGCTGGGGGGCGGGGTGGGGGCCGGGGCCTCGTGGTCCGAGCTGGAAGGGCTGCGATGGAAGGGCGTTTCCTAAACGTGGATGCACATTTGCTACAGCCGTGGGTAGAGACATGACAGGGAGCTGCTGGCCATGGTGCGGGGGTGTGTATCTCACTGAAGAGGGGTCGGGGATGCAGGACAGTCTACAACCATCCACCTCCTCCAGGCTATCTTCTAGTCCCTGGGGACTGTGGCACTGTAAGCATGGACGCTGAGGGCACAGGGACAGGACTTGCTGGTGCTCACAGAGGAGTAACCCTAACCCTAACAGCCGAGCCAGATCTGGGGACACTGTGCCAGCCCCTGGTCACTGTGCCCAATTGACAGATGAGGGGATTGAGGCCCAGGACAGGAGACATGCAGATCCAACTCCGGACTCTCTGCCTGAAAACTCAGCTTCTTGTCTGCGCCGTTGCTTGTCCCCACCTAGCCCCCCATCTCCTAGCTCCTGCCCAGGTTTTGGGGTATCAAGCCTAGGGACTGAAGAAGGCCCCCTCAGCCAGGACTGAGTGGGTGACTGTGGGGTGCATCAAGGAGAATTACAAGCTGCCATTTCTTTAGCCTCTGGCCTATGGCAACCCGTGTACCTTATCAGCTGAGCTTATGCAAAGCCCTATGGAGCCATACACTGCCAGTCCCATTTTACAGATGTGGAGCTGGAGGAAGTAGCACAGCCTGAAGCAAGCAGCTGGCGGTAGAGCCGGTTAGGCCTGACCACTGCATGGCACTGCCACAATGGAGGGGACAAGGACCTGACCTGACCTCACCACAGGCCATCAGCCCCTTCCTTCGCCCTCAGAGAGGCCTCCCCCTCACAGCATGCCACTGTACCTTCTGCAGCTTTGGGCGTAATAACCATTGACCAGGTACTGTCCCATACCCAGGGGAGTAGCTATGGCCCGGGATGGTGGAGGGGCCTGCCGCAGGGCACCCAGCCAGTTAGAAGGAGGCTAGACAAACCCAGCCTACAGCAGTGTGTCCATGGGAGCTGGGTGACTGGGAGCCAGGATGATCAAGGCTTTTCCTGTCCTAGCACAGCACACTGTCCCCTGGTAGCTCAGACACGTGGTCCCTGCACAGCAACTTCCCCCGGCACGTGTGGTTTGAGCATACCCAGGCACTGATTTGTCCAAAGGAGGAGGAATGACTTTTCATGGGATTTTCTCACCAGGGTTTTGAAGGAGGAATAGAAGTCAGCTGGCTGGTTAGATGCCTGTTGGTGTGGTGAAAGGCAGAGGCAAGGGGCAAGGTGTGTTTGAGGCAGAAGTCTGCCTCTCTCCTGTTGACTTTAGAGTGTGTATGTCTGACAGCTGTGGCTAGCTCCTGGGCTAGCCCTGCTCCAGAGGAGCGTAGTATCCCACTGACCCCACAAGAAAGCTCTTAGAACTGCCCATTGTGCAGACAGTAACACTGAGGCACGACCATGGAGGTGGCAGGTTCAGGAATCTGTCTGATCCCTAGGGGAGCTGGGGCAGGTACGGGCAGATGCCTGGCTGGTAGGTGGCTCCCAAAGGAGAGGGGGCAGGCCTCTGGGCCAAAGAGGCTTCTCTGGGGCCTCAGGAGAGTGCCCCATGCCACTGCACGCCAGCTGCTCTGGGTATCAGGCACATGCCCAGACTCCTTCATCATACAGGCACAGAGGGTGGTTTAGCGTCCCCAGCTGCTATGGCAACTGCCCAGCTCCCCTCACTCCTGTTCCCCACCCCAGGGCTCCCATTTTCCTCCCTGGTGTTTGCCCATCAGCTGTGATATCTGAGCCTGCAGGTAGGGAAACTGAGGCCCAGCCAGGATCAGCTCAAGGTCATGTCCTCTGGGGCAGAGACTGGAATTTGGCCCAGGCCGCCTGGCTCCAGAGTTGCCTTCCTCAGACTGACCTGGCCACTTGGAAAGTCCCAGGGGATCCGCGTGCTCCCAGGAGAGGAAGAAGGAGGCGGCTCCGGGGCTCTCACTCCAGGGACCAGGTCACCCAAGCCCCTGGTGGCGCCTCGTCCACTCCTCCGGTCCCGGGAGGCCCAGGCCTTCTCCTTGGTGCCAGGGGATTGTTTTCAGCTGGGGTTGGGCCCGCCTTGGGCTGCTGGAGACAGGTCCCCCGGCGGCCCGGCGTCACTCTCCCTCCCGTCTCCCCATTCTCGTCTGCAAGGGTGGGGGTGGCCTGGAGCGAAAAGGCCCCAAAATAAATGGACCTCTTATCTGATCTTCCAGCCTGGCTGTTATCTGATCATTACATAATAGTCAGGCCTTCTCTCTGGCCTGGCTGGCTGACAGCATGGAGGAGGTGGCCCTGGGTACCCGGCACTCTGGGAGGAACTAGGGTTCCTGGAAGTCCTGGGAGGGGACAGGGAAAGTTCCAAGAGAAACTAGAGGTACCGTGTGGGTCTGCAGGCCAAAGCACGGGTCAAGTGGGGAGAGGTGGGTTCCAGGCCTGGCGCACGAGTGGCATGGGCATGGCCCAGCCTTAGTCTTTTTTTTTTCTAAGTATTTATTTATTTTTATTGGAAAGGCAGGTTTACAGAGAGAAGGAGAGACAGAAAGATCTTCCATCCACTGGTTCACTCCGCGAGTGGCCACAACAAACGGAGTTGAGCCAATTTGAAGCCAGAGACCAGGGGCTTCTTCTGGGTCTTCCACACAGATGCAAAGTCCTAAGGCTCTGGGCCGTCTTCCACTGGTTTCCCAGGCCACAAGCATACAGCTGGAAGGGAAGTGGAGCAGCCAGGACATGAACTAGTACCGGCTAAGATTTAGCCACTAGGCTACTGTGCTGGGCCCACAGGCTCAGTCTGCTCACCTGCATTGTAGGAGCATGGGCTGATAGTGGTCAAGAAATCTCAATTCCCAGAGAAGATGAAGTGCTGGTTGGTCGGGATGAGACAGGGGCAGATGGTGTAGCCCCTGGATCTTTAGGAATCTGGGGGACCCGTATCACTTTGTCCCCAAGGTCTCTTACTTGGTGGCTGCCCTGTCCCATCACGTCACCTTGGACTGTGTCTGAAGTCTGCTACCAAATGATGAGAAAAAGAGTCCCGCCCTGTCCCGTGCTGTCCTCTGAAGGCCTCCGTGGGGGTGAGCACCCTCCGTTGATTGTCACTTCATAGGCACTTCATTGCCCACTGGGGGCAATCAGTTCCCAAGATGCCCCCTCCGGTCTTGAGCGCTGGCCTGCGTGGGGAGTGGGTGCTGCCTGGTTCTGGGGTTGCTGCTCAGACCCAAAGCACCAGCTTGCCAGACCCTCGGGAGGCCCCGGGCATGCTCAGGATAACAAGCCATAGGCACCTGTCCATAGGGGCCTGCTTGTCCCCAGAAGGCAGCTGGCACCCCAGGGAGGCTCCCCACCTCTCTGATCTCCAGGGTGCCTGGACCCACAGGGTGCGACCAGGTGGGAGAGAGGCCCTGTAGGCATCAGGCAGCCGACCTGGGGCCTTGGGGCAGGGACCGCCTCTCTGGCCGCCACCTCCAAGCTGGCGTCGGCTGGACGCGTGGCCCGGCCCTCCGCGCCCATCTTTGATCTCGAAGAAAACAGGAAGTGAGCGCGACAAGATGGAGACACAAACTTCCAAACAGTCTCTCCCCTTCCCTGTCCCCCTCCCGCCCTCGCCGCCGAGGCACATTCCTTGGGATGAGGTGTAGGGACCTCATTTCCTCTTCCTCCTCTGTGGCTCAGGGTGAAATTCCATTGCCTTCCCTCAGGACCCGGCTTCCTGGCGGCCCAGGGCAGGCTCTTGGGCCTCCAGCAGCCGCCTCCCTCCTCGCGGCCGCCCTCTCAGCTCAGTCCAGCCCTCGGTCCTCTGGCCCTGGGGTCGGGACACACTCAGCCACCCTGAGCCTGATCTGCCTTCCACCCCCTCTACCCCTCCCAAGGAACCTGCTTTTGTGGTCTGCATGCAAACCCTGCCCCACACTTGGGGTTGCCTGATGCCACAAACACACATACGAGAACCCAAAAAAGTTATAATCCCAGAGAAACAACACAGCTTTCTGAATGACAAGGGGGGGGGGCTGGTGCATTATGTAGGATCATTCATTCACAGAGAGACAGAATCTTCCACCTGCTGGTTCACTCTGCAAATAGTCGCAATGGCAGGCCGAGCCAAAGCCAGGAGCCTGGAACTCCATCCGGGTCTCCCACTTGAGCAGCAGAAACGCAAGCACTTGGACTATCTTCTGCCACTTTCTCCGGTGCAGTAGCAGGGAGATGGGTCAGAAGTAGAGCAGGAGCCCAGTGTCATAGTTCAACTGGCTAATCCTCCACCGCCAAGCACCAGGATCCCATAGGGCACCAGTTAATGTCCTGACTGCTCCATTTCCCCATCCAGCTCCCTGCTGGTAACCTAGAAAAGCAGGAGAGGTTGGTCCTGAACCCACATGGGAGACCCAGAAGAAACTTCTAACTTCAGATCAGTTCAGTTCCAGCTGTTGGCAGTCATTCGAGGAGTGAACCAGTGGACGGAAAATCTTTCAATCTCTCCGCTTTGTAAAAAAAAAAAAAAAAAAAAGTGGAGTAGCCGGGACTCGAACTAGTGCTTATATAAAATGCCAACATCACATGGTACGCAAACCTGCTGTACCTCAACAGCAGGACCCAACATACTCCTCTTGTTTTGTTTAATTGTTTGCTTAAGCTGTATTCATTTCCATTGGAGAAAGAAGGAGAGACAGAAAGATCTTCCATCCGCTGGTTCACTCCCCAGCTGAACTGATGCAAAGCCCGGAGCTTCCTCCAGGTCTTCCATGTGGGCTCAGGGGCCCAAGGCCTTGAGCCATCCTCGACTACTTTCCCAGGCAAACAGGGAGCTGGAAGGGAAGTGGATTAACTAGAATATGAACCGGCACCCATAAGGGATCCCAGCGCACGCGAAGCGAAGACTAAACTGCTGCCCTGGGCCTAGCACACTCCTCTTGTATCTGAAGTTCTGGCTTAACTGGGTGGCTTGTTGTTCACTAGTCAACCTTGTACCTTTTGCTCCATGACCCTGGACAAGGGGCTTTTCCTCTTTGAGCCTCAGCTTCTCCATCTGTGGAATGGTTATAATGCTCCCCACCTCGCAGGGTAGCTGACCTTGGCGGGAGGCAGGGTGACAGCCACAACCCTGAACTCACCCAGCTCTCTGACACCTCTCCCTGCAGGCCTCGCAGAAACCGCCCGCTGTGACCTGGAACCCGTGGATGCCGACAGAGGCCAGGTGACATACACCACCAGCCAGGTGTCCGAGGGCTGCGTGGCTGAGACTTCCAGCGCTAGCCTCGAAGTTCATGTCCTCTTCCTGGAGTTCCCAACCGTGAGTGTGCCCTGTGGTGAGGGGGCAGGAGGGCCCGGGGGGGGGGTGCCGACTGGAGGAGAGATGACAGGTATATTCCACCCCAGGGCTCCTCCCCTGAGAGTGACGTGGGCATCTCCTGGGGCCCATGAGGGACGGTGTGTCTGTGGCCGAGCCTGGGGCTGTGGCAAGTCTTCCGGAAGCCCCTGCAAGCCACAGGTAGCGAGGGCTGCCTCTGGGACACCTGTGTGCCCCCTCCTCCCTCATCCCAGAGCTCCACGTCAGTGCCTCCTCTCCCAGGCCGGCAGGTGGCTAAGTTGTGACTAACTCTGGGCCTTTAGTGACGACTCAACATTTATTAAGCACTCCTTGTGTACTGAATCCTGGACCAGGACCTACTGTGTGTGTCGAGAGTGAAGCCCCTGGGCAGAGAAGGCTTCCTGAGGGACCAGCTGCCAGGGTCCCTGCTGCAGACCCCACCTCTCAGACGAGGGAGCAGAGGCTGAGCTCGGGAGAGCAGAGCCAGGCCAGCTGTCACAGCACCTCTGCAGGGAACACTAGAGCCAGGCTGCTGGCCACCTGACTCCTCGGGAGCCCTCTGGGCTCAGGCAGCCAGGGGCCTTTCCCCGGGGTGGGGAAAGGAAGCCACACGTGTCCAAGAGTGATTTCCTGGTGTCCGTTTGGGGGTCAACGGGTGGCCAACCTGTCCCCCAGAACTGTTGGGTTGTGCAGCGATAAGAAGTCGCCTAGACCACCAGTATCAGGGATGCCTGCCCACCGCCAAGGCTGTGGCCTCCGATAACCCCCAAGCCACAGATAGCACCGAATGCATTCATGTGCTTTGCATTAAGACTCCTTCATGTTTGGCAATGGCATGCAAAAGGAAATTGGCTTCTCTGGGTCCACGTGGCTTGTCCTGATGCTGAGGAATGCCCCAAAGGTGATCATGTCTTATTGGGTCACAGTCAGAGAAAGCACCCGCACCCTGCACCTAGTCAAGGGTGCAGGTGATTGGTCTCAGGGCACACAGGGCATGAGGCAGAGCTTCCTGACAAAGGCTCAGTAACTGAAGAGGTATCAAAGAGAGCAGGTGCAGAGCCAGGGAGGTGACCACGGCTCAGCCAGCATGGGGCAGGATGCACGGTCCACCTCAAAGCAGGTCTGCAGATACAAGAGGCCCCTAGCCGCAGTAAGGAGCTCGGTCTTTGTCCTGCGAGCAAGCACAGTTGACGGCTAGGGTTTTAGGGCTGTGCCTGGTGCCACCGCACCTCCTATCCTATTCAGAGAGCCTCTCGGATGTGCCCTGTCCCTCCCAGAGAACTCAGTCTGCACAACATGCGACTTTAGTTCAAGGAGCTAGACAGCCAGGGTGTTTGTTGGAGGAGGTAGTAGAGGGAGCTCAGAGGGGGTGGGGCAGCCCTAGCAGGGTCATGGCCAGAACCCCTGTCGGGCTGGGAAGGCACAGGCAGAATCTTCCACCCACTGTCCTGTACACGCTTTGCTGGGAGCTCACCCAGTAGTCAGAGCAGCAGCAGGGCCTGGCCCGGAGCTGGACATACACACCGCTGGCTGTAAGGACCACTGCATAACAATGTGCAGATGGACTGGTGGCTGAGTGGCGCGGAGCTAAGAACACCAGTTCTAGCCAAGAAGCTGCTCGGGCGACGTATGTCCCATCTTGGCCTTCCCTGAGCCGAGTCCCGGCCTTGACTCTCAAGGCTAGCTTCCTGCTCCTGTGCTGAAGGCAGCAGGTGACAGATGAAGTCCTTGCTTGGGTCCCTGCCACCCACGTGGGAGACCTGGATTGGGTCCCAGGCTCCTGGCCCAGCCCTGGCTGATGCAGGCACAGATGTCCCTATAGGCAGCCACACACGAGTTGTCCCTGAAGTTGTCACTTCTGAGCAGATGGGCAGGGGACATGAATCCAGTCTTGGAGACACCAACCCTCCTGGAACTGGGCTTCCCCGAGAAGTTCCTGGCCTCCTTGTAACCCCAGAGAGCCTCCCACTGTGACCCATGAAGAACCCATGCAGTCCTGGGGCAGCATCTTCTGCCCCCGAGACAGCCCCCAACAAGAGGGTCCAGGGCCCAGCAGTCCCTACTCCACCAGCACCGGGCCCCGTGTCAGTTCCGCAGCCAACATGCTGTGCTGGACATTGAGGTTGCAGAGAGAAAGAGGGCAGGGCACCACCCTGGAATACCCCCCACCCTGGAATACCCCCCACCCTTTCCCTGCACAGCTCAGGAAGCCAGGGGATGGCCCTCGGAGCCTGCCCTGGAATCAGAAATGGAGGGCACGTGTAGAGGTTTGTGGGGACAAGATGGCCAGCATTGAACGTGGAGGGAAGACTTGCTGGGGGCAAGGTTTCCAGTCTAAAACAAAGAGAGGGAGGGGCCAAGTGCATCCCAGGTGTTGAACATTGCATCCCCAAAGGCTAGGGGATGAGAGACCTGGATTGGTGACTGCAATGCAATGACAGCCATCCCAACAGCCAGCCTGCCCCCTCTCCGCCCTCAGCTGCCTGCGTCAGTCCCTGGCATGGAGAAATGGAGAAAGAGCCTTCCAGCTCATCCCCGCCTTGTTTCGGAGCCCTCAGATTTCCCGTCGGTGGCAGCTAGGAAGCAACACTTGGGGCGAGGGGGCGGGGGCGGGGGGGGTGGCGTATGTAGGGGTGGTCCACAAGCAGCCAAGGGTCCCCGAAGGGCAGGACGGAGCCTGGATTCCGGGAGAGGGCCCCGGGGTCACATCCTGACCCGTGGAGACAGGAAGCCGGCCTGGTGTCGGCGCTGAGCTGCTGTCTTCCTAACAGGCGGGCGGGCCAGGGCTGGGGCAGCCGCTGATTCACCCCGCTCCCGGCACTCCCCACCCACCCCTGTCGCTGACTCACGCCTGGCCTGGCCGCAACGCAGGCGAGGTTGCAAAGCAGAGGGGAAGCTGGAGGGGACCTTGCGTGCCCCCAAACCCTCCTGGAAACCCTAAGGGCTGTGGAAGGCAGTGTAGTCCACCTATCCGGTCAGAGTAGACGGTTTGGAGGGTCTTAGTGCGTTTGATCTTCCAGACCCTGCTCTGGCGTCCCCGGGATCTTTGGAGCTCGTCCTTGTAACGTCCTCTAGGAGGCGCACTGCAAAGCAAATGTGAGCCCCCCTGCACTGTCAGGAAGGGGAGGCTGCTGCTGGGGTGAGGAGTGGTGGGGGCAGGGGGAGAGGAAAGCTTGGGCGTCTAGCCTGGGCGTACCCGGCAGTTACACACCATGGCTGTGCTTGGCAGGGCTGGGGCTGGGGGCTGCCACTGCGTTCCAGGCGCAAGTGTGTGTGGCCCTGTACTGGCTACCTGTCCATCTCCTTTGCTCACCACCTGTGTCTGGTCATTTGGGGGTGATTTTGTTTTGGTCTCATCCAAGTTCCTGGGAACAGTTAGGGCTCTGCAACCGGGAGAGTAAATGAGTTGAGAGGCTGGGAAAGCTTGGGCTGACTGTCTAGTAGCATCCGAGCCAGGTAGGAGCCCTGGCTATTGTCCCTGGGCCCAAGACCCAGCTTCCCGGATACTAAAGGCCCAGGATGGGGACTGGGAGCCACACAATCCCTCCCAGTCATCACTGTGCCCATCCCACCCTGCACACACTGGCACCCAGGGAGGGAACACCATGGGGGAGGGCCTAAGAGAGGTAAATCTCGGGTCCCCCATGCCACCCACATCTAACCCCAGCCACGGGCTCCTCCTCTAGCCAGTGTGCAGTGGCAGCTGGAGGTAAGGACAGCCAGGCTGCTACCATGCACAGTCGTCCCTCAGTGTCCACAGACACCAGTTCCAGGACACCCCAGGGCACCAACATCTGCGGAGATGCAGGACCCTCCCGTGGAAGGGTGCGTGTCACAGCTGCCAGGCTGTGAGTGTAGGAAAGTCGGCACAGGCTCAGTACATAGACAACTTTAATTTTTTTTTTTAAATTTTGATTTTTGATGACTTTTACGTAGTTGATTAGGGTGATGCGTGTCAAGGGCTACATGAGGGTGGGTGAGATCATAATTTCCACGTTCTCTTCTTTTCCTTCCTGTATCTGAGGAAAGGAGGGAGACAAGGAGAGAAGCAACACCCAGCCTCCCAAACACCCTTGCACCCCAGGACACCACTCCAGGGTCCCCAGTGTGGGGTGTGCTCTGAGGGTCCTGCTCATGAGGTTTCGATAGTTCAGCAGTTCCGAATCACTGCTGATCTCGCCACTCCAAGAACAATGAAATCTCCAGAATCCACTGGCTGACACAGTCCGCTGTAGAGTCTCCGTTTGCCTAGGAGGCTCACTGACAACACATGGCTAGGGTAGTTGATCAATTTGTTCTGTCCTGTTATGGTGCCAGGTGTCCTCCGCAGACTCCAATGGACTGCTGTGTCCTCCATATGCACCTGGATATGCTGTCCACTATTTTTTTAATGATCAGTTATTTTTATTGGAAAGGCAGATTTACAGAGAGAAGGAGAGAGAGTTTCCATCCACTGATTCACTCTAAAAAATGGCCACAATAGCCAGAGCTGAGCTAATCTGTTTATTTATTTATTTATTCTTATTTTTGAAATTTATTGTACAATTCTGTATAGTCTGGGATTCCCCTCCCCCCAATTTCCACCCCCAGATTGACTTTCCCATAGTGTCACAACTCTTCATAAAGAGTCACAATTCCATCAGTCTGTTAAGTGTGCCCCAACATTGCTGGTACAGACAATGTCAGACAGTCCGTCATCCTATTGCCTAGATATATCCAACACTTTCATTGGGAGTCCAGCTGAGCCAGTCTGAAGCCAGCAGCCGGGAGCTTCCTTCAGGTCTCCTACAAAGATGCAGGGCTCCAACCACTTAGGCCTTTTCTGCTGCTTTCCCAGATTGTAAGCTGGGAGCTGGAAAGGAGGTGGGGCTACGGGAACTAGAAATGGTACCCATATGGGATGTGGGCACTGCAAGGTGGAAGACTAGCCTGTTGAGCCATCATGCCGACCCCAATTTTTGTTTTGAATATTCCTGATCTACAACTGGTTCATTGGCAGCCCCAAAACTAGAGGCCAGAGAGCTAACTGGGCTTGGCTGCCCTGAGGGGCTGCTTTGTGGACAGACTTGCAGCAAGCCCTCTAAAGTCAGTCAGGTGCACTCAGTGTTCAGCCCATTGTCCAGATTAGCAAACCAAGGTCTGGCCAGAACCAGGGACTGAGCTGCTTCTGAGTTCAGGTCTGCTGGGCTTTGTCCCTTCCATGCCCCTGCCCTGATTTGACTGAAGTCTGCCAGGGTAGACAGAGGGGGCGCTGGCCCTGGGAGGGCAGGCTCCACTCTGGGAAGAATTGCTGGAAATGGCTTTCTATTAGCGGCTACGAGTGCTTGGGGCCTCGTCACTGAAATCCCCGTGGCTCACCACTGACATCGGGACCAACAATGGCCTCTGTGGGACACAGGTGTAAAAATAGAAACTGGACTCTCGCCCACCAGCCTGGCGGGGGGCAGACCCAGGCTGGCTCCCAGAATCCCACTGAGGGGTGGGAGTCTTTCTCTGTGGGTGAGTTAGGACCATGGCCATGGAAACACTGGTCATGGAAACCCTGGCTGAGTTTTTCGGGCCACAGGGCCAGCCTTGGCCCAGCCCAGGGGTTCAGACCACCTTCCCGCCCCTGCCCCGTGTGTTTCTACACTGCCATGGGATTGCCTCAGCTCCCAGAAGTCCCTGCAAGAAAGGGCTTGGTGACGACTGGGGAGGAGGGCTGGATTTCTGAGCTCAGCGTGGCGGCAGACGACCGGAAGCTGCTGCCCCCGGATGCCCTCACCCCGGTGTGACCAGGCCCTGACCTCTACTTCCCTTTCTTCACTTCCTTGTTCCAGACCCCCTGCCTGCCGCATGGGTTCCCGACCCCATGGCAGCCCCATTTCCCAGATGAGAACTTGGAGGCTTAGAGGTGTAGGGGCTGGTGGAGGAGCAATCTAGGAGGGAGGCGGAGTCCAGGGCAGTCTGGGTGAGCTGTGGGTTCCACCTGAACACCAGACCAACATGCATGGGCTTCCAGCGTGGCCACCCTCTTGGGCCTTTACATTCACCTCTGTAAAATGGGAGAGCAACATGCTTGCTATGGCCAGACAGTGCAAGCAGAATACTCAGTTTGTGGTCCAGCACAGAGTCAGGTGGACACAATACTTAGGACACTTCATGGCTCTTGAACGGCTTGACGAGATGAAATCCACCCGCCATAGGTGAATCAAGTGAGTTTGAGTACATACGCAGAGTTGTGCAACCACATTCGATTGCTTGCACCAATGGTAGGAGCAAAGCCTGGGTCAAGTTGCTTTCCTGACGTGCATCTTGTGTTACCATGGTGACAAACACAGTCCGGGAACATGGAACTTAGACGTGGCTTTCACACTATAACAAAACAGGGTGTGGAGATTTCTCTTTGAAGTGTTTAGGATGCATGTTTTATTGCAGATCGTTTATTTGGAAAGCGGAGTTGCAGAGAAAGAGTGGGGGCAGTGCCAGAGAGATTTTCCATCTGCTGGTTCACTCCCTACTTGGCCAAAATGGCTCATGCAGGAGCCAGGAGCCTTGCACTCCATCTGGACTTCTGCCATCAGTGCAAGGACCCAAGCACTTGAGCCATTCTCTGCTGCCTTCCCAGGTGCGTTAGCACGGAGCTGGATGGGAAGTGGAGCAGCCAAGATTTGACCTGGAACCAATGTAGGCTGTCAGCATTGCAGATGATGGCTTAACTCACTGTGCCACAATGTAGTCTCCTAACTCACATATATATTTTTCTAAAGATTTATTTATTTATACTGGAAAGGCATAATTCCAGAGAGAAGGAGACAGAAAAGAAGATCTACCATCTGCAGCCTCACTCCCCAAATGACCACAACTACCAGATCTGAGCTGATCCAAAGCCAAGAGTCAAGAACTTCTTCTGGGTCTCCCACATGGGTGCAGCCTGCCCAAGGCACTGGGTATCTTCTGCTGCTTTCCCAGGCCACAAGCAGGGAGCTAGATGGGGCACAAACCAGCACTCATACAGGAGATGCTGGCACTTAGAAGTGGATAATTAGCTAGTTCAGCCATTGCATTGGCCCCAAATTGCATATTTTTAAAAACAATGAAAAAGGATCTGGTATCATAGCAACAGAAGGTGGAACTGTCACCTGCAGCATCTTGTCCCATGTAGGGGCCGCTTCCAAACCCAACCCAGCTCCCTGTCAACAGCCTGGGAAAGACAGAGGAAGATGGACCACTGTTGGGCCCTGGCACCAATGTGGGAGCCCCAGATGGAGCTCCTGGTTCCTAACTTTGGCCTAGATAAGCCTTGGCCATTGCAGCCATCTGGAGAATGGACCAGTGGATAGGAGTTCTCTCTTTGTCTCTCTGTTTCTCTCTCTCTCTCTCTTTTTCCCCTCTCTTTCTATAGCTCTGATGCCCAGATAAATGAGATTTCTTTAAATAAAATGAGAAAACAGGCTAGTTGGAAAATCAGACGTTATAAATTCATTACAGTATCCTTTGAAAATGTGAACTTGTTCAAATGTTAATCTGAACTCCGCCATTCTACTACAAATGAGCATGAAAGTCATTATTTTAAGCTCCCCGACCTGAATGGCCCTGCAGAGTAAGCAGACAACCTCGGGGGAACACTGACACGAATCGGTGTGATTTTTCTTGTTTCGGCTTTAAGAGCAAACAATGAATGCGGGAAGTCCCTGGGCTGCCATGCCATCTCTGGCCGTGGAGCATCAATTCGGGAATGAGCAGGTGGCGGTGAGAAGCTGCCCCTGAAAACTTCCTACTCGCTTCTTCCCCTCTCAGTGGGCCCTCTGATGGGTGCGGCCTGTATTCCCTCTGCTGCCTCTGGGGATAAGCCAGGGGCCAGGTGTGGTGGCCAAGTGGGTTAAGCCACAGTTTGCAATGCAGCATCCCATAGCCAAGCACTGGTTAAAATCCCAGATGCTCTCTTTCCAATTCAGCTCCTTGCTAATGTGCCTGGGAAAGCAGCAGAGGAGGGTCCAAGTCCTTGGGCCCCTGCCATTCAGTGGGGGACTTGGCTGGGATCCCAGGCTCTTGATGTCAACCTTGTCCAGTGTGGGAGTAAACCAGCAAGTGGAAGATCTCTCTCTCTCTCTCTTTCTCTCTCTCTCCTGTCACTCTGCCTTTCAAACAAAACAAAACAAAAAAGAAAGTATGGGGAAGGACAGTGGGGAGACATCCAGATCCTAGGACCCCACTAACTTTCTGTGTGATCCTGCCTAAGTCAGCCCACCTCCCCGGGATCAGGTCCCTCATCTGTGAGTGGGAGCAACAGGACGGCTGCCGCCAAGGTCCTCGTGAGCGGCTTGGTGCCAGGCTGGCCTGGGTGTGGAGCTGTCCTCAGGAAACATGGCAAATGCACCCATGGCTGCTGCATGCAAACTGGCAGGGTGGGTGCTGTGACCCAGGCCACAAGCACGCTCACCTGCCCTGTAGCAAAACAATAGTATTAAGCCAGCAGTTAAAAAAAAAAAAAAAAAAAGGCTGCTTGTGCGTTTTAGAATAGAAATGCAATTAGGATCATTGATTGCAGAGCAGGAGGCCAGAGGGTCACCTGGACAGCTAGCACGGGTGCAGGGACACTGGGCACTCCCTGAGCTACACAGCTGCCTAGAGGCCTCGCACACATTGGAGGGGCTCCTGGGAAACAATAACCTGAACTTGAACCTGAACTTGGACGTGCGGGGCCAATCACCTTCCCTGCTTTAGGCTGTGGGAGACAAGGGCGGACTTGCCACAGGGAGCCAGCAGGTTGCGTACCATCCTCAGCCTGTGAGTGGCTGACTCATCCACGGATGTGTGTCTCTCCCTGTCCCAGACCCGAGAGCTGTCAAAGTTGGAGCTCACTCTGCAAGCCCCCGCGCTGAACGGCTCCCAGCCCCGTCAGGTGCTCCTGGTCCTGGGCACGAGCAAGAAAAGCAAAAGCATCTTCGTGCAGCTCCAGGCCCCCGGGATCCCATTGCACGTGGCCTACGTGAGTGTCACCCACAACCCCAAGCTGAGGTATCTGTGCTGTTTCTCCCTGGGGCCCTGACCAACGGAACTTGGAGGGCAACAGGTTAGAAGAAGCGCTGACCCTTTTTGTGTCCACCTGTCCAGTGGGACCATAGCCCCCAGTGTAATCTGACTGAGAAGTCTCAAGACCCATAGCTGGAAATGCAGGTTCAAGTGCGGTCGGAATGGCGGGGAGGGAAACAAACTCGTGGCTGCAAATGGGCTCGGCCGGGACGTCTATTCCATGTTCTGTTCTAAGAACTGCTCGAATGGACATAGCCTGCATAGCTAACAAAAGCTCAAGTTCAACTGTCAGAGGCATCCAGTAGGGAGAGAGGGAGGGGAAAAATGAGCAGGGACCTTCAGCTTGGCCTCCTCGGTGGGGAGGGGTCCCAGATGTGAGCACCTGCGGTTCACAGCGGGTTCACAGCGGGAGAATGGGGGGTGGAGCAGGGCTCAAGGCTGAAGAAGAAAGGCAGGAACGGAGGGGGAGCGGGGAGGGGGACAGCTTTCGCCATGTCTCCCCAGAACCCGGACCAGATCATCTTCCACACAACTGAAGGAATCAACACCACACAGATCCCATCCTTCAGCAGCACGAACCAAGCCCTTGACTGGGCGCTCACCTGGGGCCCCATCACCTCGGTTGCCCAGCTTGATGACCCCCGCAGCATCCTGCTCCACCTGGGTCCAGGTCAGCCTCCCCCATCAGTGGCTGTTGGCTTAGCCCTCTGTCCTGGCCCTTCCCTGAGGCTGAGCCACTCAGTACCCAAGGGGGACATGAGTTGCCTCGGTTTACTCTCCCCTGCAGGTCGGGTAGGGTAGGGGTGACTTTTCCAGCCAACAGGAAACCCCAGGAAGAGCTGGTTCCTTGTGGGAAAACAGCTGGGTCACCGTGTGCCAAGTTCTGAGCTGAGCACCCGGGAACCCTGGGCAAGGGCCATGTGCACAGAAGGCACCAAGCGTGGGCATCCTGGGAGGGGAGGCTATCAGGCTGAGCTTACCCTGTACATCCCCATGGTTAGGCCTATGTGGACAGGAGAGGAGACAGAACCGTAAGAGAGAGCAGCCTAGCGAGCAGGCAGGTGTAAGCCCGGGTCCTCCAACGCTCCCCTGCCCCAAACCGTGCTGGCGCCATCCTCGCCCGCCCCTGCAGCAGGCCGTGGGCGAGGGGGGCCCGAGGCTGATGCGTGTCTGTCTCTGCAGCCCCAGGCTCCCCTGCCGTTTGCGTGCCTGAGTCCCCCCAGGACATGGGTCACACGCTTGAATGGCAGCCCCAGGCCTCTGCCCCGGTCTTCGGCTGCCGCTTCCAAGATGTGGCCGGTCACAAGGAGGCGCACATCCTACGTGTCCTGCCGGGCCCCAAGGCCGGGTAAGCAGGCCCGCCGGCGCCCCAGCCCCGGCCCTGCACAAGGCTGGCGGGGTTGGGGGCTACCCCACCCAACCTCGCCCCGGTCCCAGCATCCCGCGGCCGCGGCCCCCGCAGTGACGCCGCCGCTTCTGTCGCTGCAGCCCACGCACAGTGACGGTGCAGGTGGAGCTGAGTTGCACATCCAGGGACCCGGCCGCGGTGCTCATCCTGCAGGGTCCACCTGACGTGACCTGGCTCATCGATGCCAACCACAACGTCCAGCTCTTGGTGAGCCTGGCTCTGCCCCCAGACGGAAAATCCAAGCATCCCCTCCCCACCTCCACCTTGCTATCTAAGGCAGTACCATCCCTCGCCCTGGACCCCTGCACATGATGGGTCCCTCCACCCATACAGTGTTCCTGCTTTCTCCTTCAAGGCCTCCTCCTCCAGGAAGTCTTCCCTGATCTCTTAGAGAGCCCCTTAAATGGCAGGTGGAGACAGCGGGAGGAGGAAGAGCAGGAGCTCGGCCCAGGCCCATCCCCTTCCCTCACTGAGTCCCTGACTTCATCCCTTGATGCCTTGTTGTCTTTCTGCGTCCCATCAGACCACCGGGGAATACTCCTTCAAGATCTTCCCTGACAAGACCATCAAGGGCTTCGTGCTCCCAGACACTCCCCAGGGCCTACTGGGGCAGGCCCAGAAACTCAATGTTAGCACCGTCGCATCCTTCGTGGAACTCCCTCTGGCCAGGGTCATCTCGCTGCAGGCCTCCAGCTGCGGTGAGCCCCGGCCCCTGCCCTCCTTGGGGTCCGTGGCCACAGTGTCTTTGTCACATCCATTCATCTCTCTGAACCCCTGGGACACTAAGGGGCCAGCCATGGGGGTCTGAGTCCCTGTGACCAAGCACACCCACTGAAAACCACTCCCCTAAACTCCCCCGCCTCTGCTACCCCACAGATGGTGGGCCCCAGACCTCACCTGCACCCGAGCCGACCACCCCTCCCAAGAACACGTGCAGCCCGGAACTGCTCATGTCGCTGCTGCAGCTGAGGTGTACCGATGACGTCATGACCCTGGTGCTCAAGAAGGATCTTGTCCAGGTAAAGGCACAGCCACCCTCTGCGGCTCGGGCTCCACTCCAGCAGAGGGGTGTCCCGGCCCAGACCTGGGACATCCTCAGCAAGCCTGAGCTTTCTTCCCATGGAACCAGGGCCAGGAACAGTGCCTGCTTCAAGGGGGCCCTTCCCCGGGGTCTGCCAGCTCAGTACGCTCTAGCCATGGCAAAGGGAGCCAAGTGATCGGCCTGTACCACCACTGCTTCTACAGTCTGGATTCAGCCAAACGCAGCTAGAAAAGAACTAGAAGGGGGAAAATGTGCACGTGCTTTGGCCATGGGCAGCCCCTTGTTCTTGTCACCATGCCCCTAAACAGTGCAGTGTGCTACCTCTCCACACAGGCAGGAACGCCGCATGATCTAGAGGCTACTTCCACTGTGCCGGAGGGAACCCAAGCACATGGGCATTGTGGTGCCCACTGCAGGACGGCCACTGAGGATGGCAGTGGCCTCGCAGGCACCTGCTGTCACACAGCGGCAGGACATCCCCATCTCCACCCCAGGGACGGTGGCTGGCGGCCGTCGGGGCCTTTCTTTGTGGTGTGCTCTCTGCGTGCCCTTCCTGTATCCGCGGCGTCACAGTGCTCGCATTCCTTTGTCTCCTGCTAGTCCACTTAGCGTATTTTTAGAACCCTGACGTCTGTGGCCCACGCTGTGTTGTTCGTGAGTATGGGTTGGTCTGTCGTGTCCGCAGTGGGCTCCTCCGCCCATGTGGCACATTCAGAATGTCTCCAGTTCTGTGATACTCCAAGTATGCAGAAAATGCCATGGTGGGCAAGGCTGTTCTGTGGGGGGATTGCTTTCTCTCTCTTCCAATATTTATTATTTTAATCTAAGAGATTTTACAGAGGAAAAAGGAGAGAGAGCTCTTCCATCCACTGATTCACTCCCCAAACGGCTATAGTGACCAGAGCTGAACTGACCTGAAGCCAGGAGCTTCTTCCGGGTCTGCTATGCAAATGCAGGGTCCCAAGCACATGGGCTGTCTTCTGCTGCTTCGCTCGTCCATAAACAGGGAGCTGGGTCAGAAGTGGAGCAACTGGGACGTGAAGCGGCATCTGTGAGATGCTGAGACTCGCAAGAGTAGGATCAGTCTGTCGGGCCAATGAGCTGGCCCCAGGGGTTGCTTTCTTAGGCAGGAGCCCCCAGAGTGAAGTCCAGAGGGGTTCACTTCTCCCTGGTCATGTATGACAGTACCTCTGCCACTCGCTTTCCCTACAGACTCACATTTTTTTAGTCAAAAGCAAAGCCTCTGCCCAGGTCAGATGAACCATGACATTCTGTTCCTGTTCGCCTGACTGGTCTTGAGCTGGGAGTGACCATGACCTTGGCGCCACACCAGCAATGATGACCTAAGTCTCTTTGTCACTGGGGCTTGGTGTTTTTCTTGATGTTTTTGATAAGTTTGGCTTTTTTTTTTTTTTTAACATAAAAGGGGGAAAAAAAAAACCCCATGGCCTTTGTCCATGTTTTTCCCTGCTGTGTTATGCTTCGTTGCAGGATGGCCCCGGTAGTCTCTCGCTCTTTTGAGTATTACTAAACGGAATGAGCTAGAGCTGGAGTGGCACCGTGGCTTAAGCCACCACTTGGGACGCCTGCAGCTCGTGCCAGCTTGGGATCCAGTCTCACACCTTGGCATTCCCATCCAGCTGCTACTTCTTTTTAAGATTTATTCATTTTTCTTAGACAGATTTACAGAAAAGAGAGAAAGATCTTCCATCTGTTGATTTACTCCCTAAGTGGCTGCAGTGCTGGAGCTGAGCTGATTCTAAGCCAGGAGCCAGGAGCTTCTTCCAGGTCTCCCACATGGGTGCAGCATCTCAGGGCTTTGGGTAATTCTTCTACTGCTTTCCCAGGTCACTAGCAAAGAGCTAGTGGAGCAGCCAGGACACAAACCAGTATCTATGTGGGATGCTGGCCCTTGTGAGGGGAGGATTATTCAGTTGAGCCATTGTGCCCCTCCCACCACCACACTACCATCCAGCTTTCTGCTGGAGCGCCTTGGAGGCAGCACGCAATGGCTCCAGTGTTGGGTCTTTGCCACCTGTGTGGGAGACCTGGATTAAATTCCTGGCTGTTGGTTCTGGCCTCATTCAGCCCAGTGCTGTGGGCATTTGGAAAACCATTTTCTCCCACTCTCACTCTGTCTTAAAAAACAAAACAAACCAAAACAAAAAACCCTGTCAGACCTCTGCTAAGTCATCCATGACACTGAACTCTGAGTAAATCCACAGGAAAGCAAAGCGTGGGACAACACTCCAGGTCCCTGGTTCACACATCGCTGGTTTTGGCTGAGACTTCTGCTAGGCAGACAGGCCAGGTGTGTTCAGAAATAAATGAGCGAGAGAAGTAACACTTGGGGGAATGCAGGACCCTCATGCCTGCACAAGCTGCAGGTCAGACCCAGACTGCAACTGCAGAGGCGGCCGCCAGCCTGCAGGGGCAGAAGCAGGGCGGGGTGCACAAAAGGCCGCTGGTGGCGCATGCAGTGTCAAGAGCAGTGCGACGTCACGTGTTCAGGTACAAAGGAAAAACACCCATCTCCCTATGAACACTTTCCCTAACACAAAGGGTCTGCACACTCCCCCCCAAACCAGGGTGCCCTCCCACAATGGCTGCATTCCAAGGTCCCTGGAGCCCCATCCAAGTCCTTCATATGGGCAGTAGCAACCTAGGGTAGCTTTCCAGAGGAGTGACTCCAAGAGAACCAGAATCAGGGGAACCTTCTAGAGTAGTCTTCATGACTCTTTTTTAAAAAAATTTTTTTAAAGATTTATTTTATTTTTATTGGAAAGGCAGATATGCAGAGAGGAGAGACAGAGAGGAAGATCTTCTGTCCGATGATTCACTCCCCAAGTGAGCGCAACGGCTGATGCTATGCCGATCCGAAGCCAGGAGCCTCTTCCTGGTCTCCCACAAGGATGCAGGGTCCCAAAGATTTGGACTGTCCTCGACTGCTTTCCCAGGCCACAGGCAGGGAGCTGGATGGGAAGCGGGGCTGCCGGGATTAGAACCGGCGCCCATATGGGATCCCGGGCGTGCAAGGCAAGGACCTTAACCACTGTGCCATCGCGCCGGGCCCTTGCATGACTCTTAATCTCTGAGATTCTTCTCAAGTTTGATTCTAATGAAAACAGGTTGCCAAATTCTGACTTACCACCTGTTTTTCATTTTTAAATAAAGTTTTATTGGGATACAGCTGCACCCATCTGTTTACACACTGTCCATGGTGGCTTGTGCCTATGACAGCAAACCAAGTCATGACAATAACAGCCACATGGCCTGCAAGGCCTCAAATGGCTGGATGTAGAATCCTGACCATGCCTGTGCTGACCTGTGCCGGCCTCCTGTTTTCCACCCACCACAGGCCCTGCAGTGTACCATTCTGAGCCTCACCTTTGGGGACCCCAGCTGCCAGGCTGAGGACAGCGAGGACCAGCTGGTCCTGCACAGCCCCTACTCACGCTGCGGCATGGTTGTGACCGGCAGCATGGTCAGCAATGAGGTGAGGACTGGGTCTGCCCCCACACCACCACCACCCAGTGGCTCCCCCAGGCTCCAGGCCAAGGTGGTCTCTGGAAGAGCAGACTGTGGTGCACTTTCTAGCAGGAACATAAGCTCCCAGTTGGGCTATCAGCTGACCCAGTCTCTCCATCCCTAAAATGGGTGTATTGGCTGGGCCAGCCTCCAGGGTTCTTCCTGGCTCTGACCAGCAGCTCCTTGGTTCTGTCCCCACAGGTGGTTGTCCACGTCCTGTCGGGCTTGTCACCACAGCGGGTGAGAATCATGGTCCCTTGTACTAACACACCTGGCCCAGGGTTTGCTGCTGCCTGAGCTGGGCTGCACCCCGGCTCCCACCCACTCCCCCTGCCAGAGGCTTCCTGGCTGGTACCGCCCAGCCTGACCGAGGGTCCTGCCTCCCGCCCATAGAAAACCGTACAATGCTTCAACTCAAAAGGGCTCGCTGTGCAGCTGGGCCTCTACCTCAACCAGCATTTCATCCAAGCCTCCAATACCATTAAGCTGGAGCAGCAGGGTTTCGTGCAGGTACTGGGCTTGCCTTGCCCCTCCTGGGCCTTCTGGGTGCCCTTCCTCCTCTTTCTGCCCAGCATATGGGGAGAGTCAGCCTGAGCGGGGAGTGAGGTCGTGGCATGGCTTGGCTGGTGGCCTTGTTGTCACAGGCTCCAGGCAGTCATCACTGCATGTGAGCCATGGCCCAGGGCTTGGGCTCACTGCCCACTCGCCCATACTTCGTACCCCTTGCCTGCCTGCACAGGTGAGCCTGACCCCACCCGTCCCTGAGCTCGCATTGCAGCTGGACAGCTGCCATCTGGACCTGGGATCCGAGGCGGAAAAGGTGGAGCTGATCCAGGCCGGGGCCCCCAAGGGCAGCTGTGTGAACCTGCTGTCCTCGAGTGCTGTTGGCCAGCAGCGCTTCAACTTTCTCCTCCGCGTGAACATGGTGCCCACACCCAAGTCTGGGACCCTCAGCTGCTCTGTGACGCTGCGGCCCAAGAGCTGGTCCCAGGTGCGTGCAGCTTGGGGATGGCCCAGCTTCTGTAGGGGCTTCTGGGTCTGGGATTTGCACACAGGGATGTGGCCATCCAGAGGGACATGGAAACAGGTGGCAAGGAGCAGATTCATGGTCAGGCGCTTGTCCACCCTATGGCCTTCTGCGGGGGCTGCTGGGTCTGGGGCTTTGAGAGCAAATCTGTTATTCTTTATCCTCCCAATGACCCATCCATCCACCCATCCATCCATTCATCCAACCCCTCCTCTTCCTTCCATGTATTCATTCATCCACTCACATTGGGACAAAGGTCCCAAATCTGGCTTTGGTGCATGTGCTGCCCAGGGTGAGGGGGGCTCCTCCAGCACCTGCAGCAAACCAGCTGGTGGCTGCCAGTCCCTTCCATGACACGGCTTGGCCAGGGCTGATTGTAGGTCCCCAGCCAGAAGCTCCAGGCTGCTGGCTGGCTGCAGGGCTGGGAATCAGCCTGGAAGGGTGTGCCATACCTCTCCTCTGCCCCACAGGAGATCCACAGGACTGTATCCACCCACTTCAGCATCAGTTCCGACGTGCCTGGTGAGTGCCGCCCCTTCCCCCTACCCGTGGGCTTTGGTGGCTGAAGTCGGACTGGGAGATGCCTGGGCCTCCAGCAAAGGGATTTCAAGGACAGCAGCCTGGGAAGAGGGGCAAGAGAAGTCCCCCTATGCACAGGATGGAGGCCCTTGCCCACAGCTCCCAGTGGCCTCGGACACCCAATCCAGTGCTCTGCTGGGTCCTTGGGGCTGCTGGTTGACCCAGCTAAGAGGCTGGGGCCTCCCAGGGCAACCTGGGGCAGGGGAGGGAGGGAAGGTTGCATGCTTGGCCCACCCTGAGGTTCCCAGGATGGAGGCAGCTGTTTAGCCCAATGTCCTGCAGCCAGCCACCCTGTTAGCTCCCCTGGGGCCCTTACAGTGGGGGCTAAGGCTTCACCTGCCATCCATCCCGAGCATGCGAGTATCCTTGTCTCCAGTTCGGGACCAAGAAATCAGGACTAATAATCCCATTGCACAGATGGGAAGCCAGAGGCCCAGGGAGTGATTGGCTGGCTCAGAACCACACCACACGTGCTGAGCAGCACAACAGGGGTGGGGCAGTGCTGGGCTGGGCAGAGCTGCAGCGCTGACAGATGGCCCTGTCTTGTTTCTGCAAAGGCCTCAACCTGCCCGCCGTACTGGGCATCACCTTCGGCGCCTTCCTCATCGGAGCCCTGCTCACCGCTGCGCTCTGGTACATCTACTCGCACACGCGTGAGTATCCCGAGGCACCCCCTTCTCTGGGGGAGCCCGGCAAAGCCGAGGAGGCAGTCAGGAGCCTGCCCGGGGCGGGCCCTGACCGCTGCCCCTGCCACTGCCCGCAGGTCCGCACGGCAAGCGGGAGCCCGTGGTGACGGTGGCCGGCCCGACCTCCTCGGAGAGCAGCAGCACCAACCACAGCATCGGCAGCACGCAGAGCACGCCCTGCTCCACCAGCAGCATGGCCTAGCGCCTGACCCTGGGGCCACCGGCCAGCCTGTGCCCGGCAGATGGCAGCTGCTGCCGGCTGGCAGCCACAGCCAGGAGCTCACCTCCTTCTCTAGGGCCTGCTGCCAATGGGGACACTGCTGCCCTGGAGCCCTGAGGGGTCCCCCAGGCCACTCTACAGAACCTTCCGACCCAGTGGCTCTGGGATGCAGCTGTCCAGGACCACAGAGAGACAGGTCACCGTCCCGACTGTCCACATCGCTGTAGAAACGCAAGGCCCATCTGTGCTGATGCAGCCCCTGCTCTGGGTGCCTGGGTTGCACACAGACGCAACCCTGCCCAACCAGGCCCCCGCACCTCTCCACGGGTGAGAGGGGACCTGGCCTGGAGCCCGCTGGGTCCCCACGCAGCAGCCTCCACACTTGAAGCAGAGGAAGCAGAAGCCCAGGGCGACTGGCCTGGGAGACCAGTCGGTGGCAAGAACAGTTTGTGTGTGTGTGTGGGAGCAGGGATCCAGCAGTCCTGGCACACCCCCGACCCCATGGGAGGTGCCAAGATGCTCATCCTGCATCCAACCCTGTATATTCATCCCCAATAAATTAGACATTGAAACCAGTGTTGGGCTGGGAGAAGGGGAGGGGTGGGGAAGGGCCCGGCAGGGGTGGGGGCTCTACCAGCGACCTCTGCTTGCTGCTCCCTGGGCAGCACATCCCAGGACTACAGCTGCAACATCCATTCATGAGTGAATGCAGTCCTTGCTAGCTCCGGCATCTGGTCCCGGGCCTGTCACCTGGTGGCTGGGACAGTGGGCAGGTCCCATGGATCCACAAAGCCAGCTATGCTTAAATCCTCTATCTGTAAAATGGGCACAAGTCTCCTTCCAAGATCTGTGCCAGGAAGTCCACAAAGCAGTGCCTGGCATGCTGCCACGAGAGGGAAGGAGGGACTTGCCCCGGGCCACCCTGTCCACTTCCTGGACTGGCTACACACCCCCTAGTCCCGGACTGACTGTCGCCTGAGAGAGCCAGACAGAGGTCAGGAGTCAGGGAAAAGTTTTGCCATTTCTTTAAAAAAGTGAAAGGCTTTAATTCACTTGGTCACCAGGGAGGCCCAGACAGAAAAGGCCCTGGCTTTCCCAGAAGGCACTGCAAGGAAGAAATCCACTCCCTGGCAGCCAGCAGGACCCTGGGTCTGGCCAGGCAGCTCCTACAACGAGCTGGGTGGTGGGAGGGCAGGCTCGGGTGCCAGGCCTGCCATGTGGGGGCGCTGTCCTTGCTGGGAAGGCATGGCCAAGACACAGAGTCCCTCCTGCCCTCAGGAGAACAAGAATCAAAGGCACCTCCTGGTATCTTGAGTTCACGGAGATGGCAGGCCAGGCGTTGGCTGCCCTTCCTCCAACCCCGACCCCACAGCCCCGCAGCCTTGGCTACTGGGACAGGGAGGGGTCCAGCAGCTTCAGCACGCCGCCCACAAGGTGCAGGCTGCCTGTGACCAGCACATGGACAGCAGTAGCCTCCCGGAGTACCTTGGTCTTGCCGCTGGCCAGGGAGAAGGGGAGGAGACCTCTCGGGGGGCTGGGGGACTGGGAGACTGGATCCCGGCCTTGGCTGATCCACTGCAAGGCGTGCGAGATGCAGCTGAAAACCAAGGAGGTGCTGCTGGAAGGGTGGAGCAGGGATCCTGCCTGCCCTGGGCTGTGGGGGCTCCGGACACCGTCATTCAGGTGGCTCCAGTGCTGCTGGTGCTCCAGGCAGCGGTGCAGCACCTGGTCCAGGGTCACCATAAAGTTCTGCTGGTCTGTGGGGTGCAGAGATGGGCAGGTCAGGAAAGGGAGCACAGCATGGGGAAGTGGTGGGTGCACCGCAGGGGGAAGCTGCAGGTGTGCAGGGAGGGGAGGCACAGGTGTGCAGGGAGGGGAGGCACAGGTGTGCAGGGAGGGGAGGCACAGGTGTTGTGCACCCCACCCCCTCAACACCAGGCCTTTGGCATACATCGCTCTGCTGTAGCCACACTCTCAGCCAATGCTGGGAGGACACTGAGGCTCAGTCAGGCCCAGAAAGGCACAGCCCTGTCTTATAGCTCCCAACACATCTGTGACATGGACAACTGTCCAGCTGGAGTCCACCACCACATTGGTGTATTTCCGAGGGAGCTGGCTAAAATGCAGATTCTAGAACTTTCCCCAGATAATCCCACCCGGGACTTGAGGAGTTGTGTCTTTTGAAAATGTGTTTATTTGAGGGGCCGGTGCAGTGACTTATCAGGCTAATCCTCTGCCTGCCAGCACTGGCATTCCATACTGGCACAGGTTCATGTCCCAGCTGCTCTACTTCCCATTCAGTTCCGAGTCAGAGTTAGCAAGCAGCCGAGTTAGGCTCCTGGAATAAACAAGGCTGTGACACAGGACATGAGAATCCTGACTGCTGCCTTAGCACTGGCCCAGCTCCCAGTTTATTCTAGACTGATGTGGAGTCATCACATCTGCTGACAGACACATTGGGACGCTTCAGTGGGCATCTGTCATTTTTCCAGTACTGCATCAAATTTATTTTAAAAAAAAAAAAAAAAAAAACAAGGGCCCAGCACAATAGCGTAGCGGTTAAAGTCCTCGCCTTGCACACCAGGATCCCATAGAGGTGCAGGTTCTAATCACAGCTTCCCTGCTTTTCATCCAGCTTCCTGCCTGTGGCCTGGGAAAGCAGTTGAGGACGGCCCAAAGCCTTGGGACCCTGCACCTGCGTGGGAGACCTGGAGAAAGCTCCTGGCTCCTGGCTTCAGACTGGCTCAGCTCCAGCCGTTGTGCTCACTTGGGGAGTGAACCATTGGAGGGAAGATTTTCCTCTCTGTCTCTCCTCTCTGTATATCTGACTTTGCAATAAAAATAATTAAATCTTAAAAACAAAAAAAAAAACTAAGACAGTAGAGGGGAAAAATTTAACTGATAAAATTTACTGATTTTTTTTTTTTACCAAATAAGGGGGATACTTCAATATTTGCAGAAAATGAAATTAAGAAATTTATGTTGGTGCAAATAAATAGAAATCTATGCCACATTTTTTTTTAAATAATGTACATGTTCCACAAATGGAAGACTCCTGGAAAATGCCTGCAACAGAATCTCCCCCATACAACAGCTACCCCTGCCCTGAACAACGTGCCCTGGCGTTTTCCATGCTACTTTATTCCGTTTAGAAGAAACATGGCTGAGAACCACTCCATCGGCTTCCGGAACCAGCGTGGGCTGGTTTTGAAGAACATCCTTCCCGATAACTTCCTTAGCATCGCAGTTACACGACACATAATCCAAACTGCACCAAACGTCTGCTCACAGAGTAAACCGAGGCCTCGCTCCCACGCCTGTGTGGTCCACCCGGGCCCTCAGCCCCCTTGCCAACCACCCTCACCACCCTGGGACCACACTTGTCCCCTCTCACCTGCGTCACCTGTGAATGACACCTCTGTCAGGTTGGGGCAAAAGAGAGCATAGTCAAATTGGCAGGGCTGGAAAGACCAAGGGGGAGCTGCGTGTAAGACCTTGTTCCAGCTGAGTGGGATGACGCTGCCTAAGCCCTGCTCCGGACTGCCAGGCCTCCCCTCCTCTCCCCTCCCTGTCCCGCCCCTTGCATGCCCCGTCCCTTGCATGCATGCCCCACCTCCTCCACTGTGCCCACGCCCGCCACACACACACACACACACACACACACACGCACGCTCCCTGCCCCCTCCCACCTTTACTGCACAGACCCAGGGGAGGGGGCACTTGCGGAGGCCCATCTGTTAGTGAGCAGCCCCCACACCCGGGCTGAGCCAAAGGTGCTGCCTGCACAATGCAGAGAGGCTCCAACCAGGAACAGCCTCAGCCTCCTGGTCTGTGAATGGGCCTAGGATGACCTGGGGGTGCCCCAGTTTCCCCAGGAGAGAAGAGCCTGCATTCACGTTGCATCCCAAGGATGCCTTCAACCACATCTAAGAAGCAGACACCCACCCAGGCGTCCCCATTTTATGGACAGGCAAGCTGAGGCTTAGCAGACACTTAAGGGCATACAAGGGGGTGCGAGATTGTACCTCTGAACCACCCTTCGCCCTCCCTGGAGCCTAGACCCTGGGTTTGATTAGGCAGTCAGGGCACCAGGGCAATGACCGAGGACAAAGCTTTCCTAAGCCCCAGTGCTTCTTCAAGCTTAATCTCAGCATGACAATGGCAGAGGGGGCACCAAGGGAGGAGCCCCAGGGGTCACACAGCAGCCCTGCCCCCACGCAGCCCCTTACCTGCAGCAGCTTCAGCAGGGCCGCTGAGTCCCGGTCCCCAGTGGAGTTGAAGAGCAGGACACGTACTTCCGAGCCGCTGCATCAGGGGCCGGGGTGGTCATCCAGCGGCACCTCCCGCAGCCCCTCTGCCCCTCTACTCGGGTGCTCCTTCCCACAACCCACCCGGACCTGCCTCGCCCCTTCCCCCCGCTGCTGCCAAGGCCACCCAGAGCTCACACGCTCGGTCTCTCCTGCTGCTGCAGCGCCCCAAGGAACCAGCGCACACAGGCCTGCACGCTGCTGGTGGTGTGCGCACCATCCAGGTACCAGGTGAGTGGCCCACGCCTCAGTACCTGCGTGCGGCCCAGCCATTCCGTGTCCCGAAGCCCTGGAGGAGGGGCAAGGAGATGCTTTGGTAGTCAAGAAGCCCTCCTGGATCCCCACCCACCAAGTCCCCCTCTCCAGGAAGGCCACGCTCCTGGCACACAGTGGACACGCTTGCTGCCTGCTGTGTATACAGCACCTCCCTCCCACACCCTGGGACACTCGTGCCCTGCTGATGGAGGGGACGGTAGTGACATCCTGAGCCAGCTCCGCGTCCTGTCACCACCTCAGTGGGCAGACCAGGCTCAGGAAGACGCAAAGCAGGAAGGATTGCTGCTCACAGCCCATCACTGGAGCCAGTTCCACTTGGAACTGCCAAACAGGAAAGCAGACAAACCCGTGGGCAGGAGGCCCCACTCACCGTGCCTCATGCGCTCTGTAGGCTGGAACACGGGCGCCAGGGGCAGCTGCCACAGGACGCCGGGCTGGGAGGACTTCAGCTCGCCAGTGTCTGCGGGGGACGGGCACGCGAGTGAGCCAGAACTCAAGAAGCCCCGCCCCCGGCCCCGCCCCACATGGCCCCGCCCCTCATTGCTCCGCCCCACATGGGTTCCACTCCTTCAGGGCTCTGCCTCTCGGGTTCCACCCACACATGGCTCCGCCCCACCGGGCTCCACCCTGAATGTCCCCGCCCCCTCGTGGTTCCACCCATGCATGGCTCCGCCCCACATGGCTCCACTCCAAATTACCACGCCCTCGTGGCTCCACCCCCACAGGGCTCCGCCCACTCACCTTGGTGCTCCTGCCTCCGCAGCCAGCAGTGCGCCAACTGCA